TCCTAGGTCAGCAATTCCACAAGGAAATGTCTCTTCTGAAATTTAATATTATTTCAGAGATGAATGGTTAACTTTGCATGTATCAATCTCTAAACTAGATAAAATGGTGGGGAGAAATAAAACACTGTTATCGTGCTGTGTCAGATGCCTACTTCAGTTACTGGGATGGAGAAAGGCTACCATGACCAAAAGGGTCAAGACAGCCTATCATAGGAACAAGGGAACTCCAGACATCAGAAAGGAGAGAGACTAAGAAATAATTTGGAGCAAATAAAAATATGACCATCATACTGTTTTCAGTTATTTAATTCCTTTGATCCCCTTTCCCTAGGGATAATACTCTACAGCATTAAGATGATGCTAAAGTGACTTTGTATGTGTGTTTTGAAAAAGTTAATTCACTGTGTCTTCTATTAAATGAATGGTGTCTATTGTAAAATCTAGATTGTTCCATTAGTAGCTGATGAAATATGGATAGAAACAAAGTGTGTGCTGTATAATTTATCGTAACAATGAAGTTGTGGATGAAAGCCAACCAAAGATGACTTGAATATATATACAACATATTACTGAAAATTCTAGTTGGAGAAATGGACAAGAAAGAAAAATAAATACCATGAAAATTTTAAAAAGGACTTTTGTTGAGAGATATTCTAATAAATATAGAAATTCTAAATAGTCTATAAGAAAACAGTTGGAATTAATAAGTCAATTTATCAACACACAAACATGAATTGTTATCCTACACACTAACAATGGAAAAATTCAAAGAAAAAATGAAACAATTGCATTTAGAATAGAATCAGCTGTGGTTGGAATCCCCAGTGTGGGTTGAACACCTTATAGGTGTGGGTTGAACACCTTATAGGTGCTTCCATCATAACAGGGCTTTGGGCCAGAGTGATCATAGAAGAGAACTGAGGAAAGTTTTTACTACCCTTCCACAAGACTTTTCATTCCTGAAAGATATACCACAGAGAACTGTGGAAGTCAGAACACGACCAGCGTGAACAGCACCAGAGATTGTCCAACCACATAGACACGATTACAGCTCATCACAAAATTGTGGAGAAATTATACACATCCAAATTAATGTATTCAGCAATAAATGACACATATGACCCTGTATTTCACATGTAACAAATGACTAGTTAAGTGGTCCATATGGTTGTTTTAATTATAACTCTGTTTTACTTTAGATTTTATTTTTTTAACTTATTCAAATGGGGGAAATATTTAAATCGTCTTTTTGAAAGTGTTTTGTTTCAAATGGTATTTTGTTTTCAATGAATTTCATCATGGGCAATGTTAATAAAGTGGTGGCCTGTTCAGTGCTTGGCACTTTAATGAAATGGCTTTTTGTAGATAATCAACAATTTAAATTAAAATGGCTAGCTATCTGTACTGACTCCTCCCATCCCCCAGCAATTAGTAGTCTCCTAAAACTAAAAAATGCAAAACCATGAAAGCAAAAATTACAATGTATAGTTTACATACAGCAACTTCTAAATTGAAAATGCACCTCTGGTCTCTTAGAGACTATCCATTTACTCATTTAGCAATATTGGGGAATCCAGGGCAACGTAAATGCTAGGCAAGTACTCTGCTACTGAACCACACCTCAATCCTCCTTTAAAGATTTACTGGGCAACAATAACATGTTAATAATATTCTGGATATGGGGAACAAAGTGATAGTGAATAGCCTGACGAGTCAGTACTCGGGAGAAATGATGTGTGGTGGGAAAAGAGACATACTAAAATGATTTATAAAGCGGCATGGAAATGCTTCAACAGAGAGACACATACAAAAATGCTTTTGCAGCAAAGGACAGAGCAGTCAACTCAGCCTGCCATGCTGGAAAAGAAGGAGGCTTGTGAAGAGGGAGAGGGGACTCTAAAAACCTGAGGAAGAGGAGAGGTCTTCTAAGATGAAGGAGTAGTATGAGGAAAGTCCTGTGATCCTAAGTGATCACCTAAGTGATCTGACAGAAATTGGAAGCATATAGTCAGAGCAGAGACTTCATGGGAAAGAGGGCTGCAAGTTTTAGGACCAGTTTATAAACCATGTTCAGGGTCAGCTAAAGATTCTGTATCTTTACTTTATAAACAATGGAATATTGGTCTGGATCTATAAGCAAGGAGTCACTAGATCAACTGTGACAAAAGACTACTCGTTTCCTTTCAGCTTGCTGTGTCATGTTGAAAAGTTTTGGTTAATAAATCAAGCAGGCCCCTGAGTTCAGGTGGGGATAAAAGGGTGTCAACCTGCTCCATCTCCCCCACCATCATCCTCACGTAGGTCATACTCACCCATCTGCCAGGGAGTGGATAAGAAAGGCAGAGGACATTTTGTGGAAAGACTTGTGTATATATCATCTTCCCATCCTTTCTTGTTTTATATTCAATGCTTTATGACTATGAAAATTTACTTTTGTAGATGAAGTGAAAATTGCCACAATCCTCAGAAGTAATTCAAATAACTCATGTAAAGAAGGGAGACTCTGTTTGTGCTATCAAGAGTGGAGAGTCCTCCTCAGAGGACTGGGAATTCTAAAAACATTTCCTCCGTTGTGGAGAAGCCCATGGGAATATAGGCTCAAATAAATTTCCATGCTCATTCCTTACTTTTACCTGATAAAGGAACCATGAAGCCCTTATGTGGTATATCCCAACAAACACCGAGACAAAGAAGAGATAAATGTGCAGAAATCTATGAAAACAAGGCATTAGAATTCTGATTCCAAAGATGTTATCCAAACCCTCCCATCCCAGAAGATTCACTGTAATATGGCATCAAACATCGTTCTCTCTCTCTTTGTCTGAATAAGCTACCTCCTGGGAAACTGCATTTCAGAAATTTAAACAGAATCAGGATGTGTGGTTTCCATGCCAACCACACTAGCTTCTCTTTTGTTTCTTATTCATTTATTTATTCATATCACTAACACATACATACTGAACACCACAAATGTTTCTTGTATGTGCAGGTGGGAAGATCAAAATGGATTCAAGACTATTGAGAGAAATGAGTATTGAACACTTAAGCGAATGTGCAGTTGGAGAAGTTGAGGCCAGGTAAGACATTCCTGCCCACCGAGGGGTAGATTAAATTGGCAACAACCACTCACTAATATCCTCAGATGGTTAGAAACTCTACCCAGAACATGCTCCCCTGTCTTGTATTTGTGTTTAGGCTCTTCATTCTCTGTGATGGAGTAGTCACCATTGCACACCTCATCAAAGAAGGTGTTGCCATATCCATTCCTTGGCTTCCACACTCATTCATATAAAGCAATTGTAAGTGGGGCTAGGTTGAAAAAAGGTGCAATTTTAATTGGACCTGTCCACAATGTGGCTACCCAGTGAAGAGATATGAAAAAATTAGAATTTTTTTGGTTTTAAAACACCATTTAAAACTTTGATTCCCTCCCCACCAATGCCCAGGAAAAATCAAACAAAAAACCAACCACAAAAAGCCAATTTCCAGTAGGCAAAAATTTTTTTTTTATTCTTTCATAGAGTCCAATCACCTTTTTATAATTCAGGAGATTCTGAAAACTCCCATGCTCCTAGAGTCACATTTCTACTCTAAAAGGATATATAGATATAGATATAGATACAGATTTCAAGAGATTTATATGTGGAGTATATCCAGGGTCTTGTACATACTGAGTACTGATGGGGAATGTCCTTCTGTGTATGTTTGTCTTATTGGTTGTTGAATAAAGTTCTGTTGGCCAATGAAGAAGCAAGTTAGGCTGGACTAGGAGTCAAGGAGGATACTTGGAAATGTAGTAAAAGGAAGTGTTGTCATACAGGCAGGAAGACTCGTATATAAGCAAGGGCAAGAAGGAAGTCGTTCTCTTCCTCTTCCTCCTGCTCTCTGCTCTGGAGTCGCCATGTGACCACCAGGAAGACAGGATGCATTCAACCGGCATCCACCATAAAATAAGTCTTATGATTATGGTTGATAATTAAGACTGAGATAGCAGATGAGAGGTCCTAGTCAATTGGCCAGCAGCATTGTAGCCTAATATAACTCTCTGTGTATTATTTGGGGCCCTAAAGTGGGGGTCAGAACTCAAGCGGCCAGCAGAAAGATTATTCTGGGCGTCCACGTGGCGGCGGGACTCAGGTGGATGGAGTAAAGACTTATCATTGCACAGTACTTGTTCTGCTACTGAGTTAATTCCTTGGCACTTGTTTATGAGACATGGACTCACTACATAGTTCATGATGGCTTTTAATTTACAAGGTAGCCCCAGTTGTCCTCGATCACCCTTCATCCACTTTCGGAGACCTGGGATGACAAACATTCATGACTGTTAAGGACATTTTTACACCCCCAAAAATTGTGTTACCATCTGTTAAAGTAAGTATTTAAAGTCTAGATATATGACAAATTATGATATAAGGTTTCACACAAAAGTGGGGTGGCCATGTTCCATTAGAATGGAGGGATCAGATTTAAGCTGAAAAAGCAAGGCAGTAAAGCTTCTTTAGGAAAGTGTAACATTTCTCAAGACTGTTGGATGGACACAGGGACTGGGGATTGAGTGTTCACACTAGGGGATCATTAAGTAAAAAACTCCAGAGATGAGGAGTGTAGAGCACCATGGGAACTGCAAGAGGCCAGCAGGACCCAGACCCTTAAGAAGAAGGGGAGATGGAGGCTGTTCAGAAAGGCAAAGTAGCAGGGGCAAGATCACATGGAATCTCATGAGTCATGTGACTCCTAATTTGAGGTCCCCGGCTCTTTCTTATCAAAGAAAATGACATCGTTGATAGCTTCTTTTAAACTTTGAGTTTATTGGTCATTGAGACAGAAACAGTTGTGTCAAAGCTGGCAAACTTGCACATGTACACACACACACACACACACACACACACACACACACACACACACACACATACAAAGCACACATAAAACAATTCAAAGGACACATAAAGCAACTTGGTCAAAGGGCATGTAGCTTGGCATTATCAAGTAGTCTGTCTTATAACCCTACATATAATTCCAGGTCAGCCAGATAGTAAGCTGAAAAATATTTTCATACTAATATTTCTTTCACAGCAAAGTTTCCTGTGGGGAAACTAGAATTGTGAGGGTTTCTGGAAGAGCTTTAAAAATGTTGCCTGCCAGCAGCACATGAGTTACTGGTTTTCAGGATCTGCCCAGCTGACACACCTGTTTCCTGTCAACAAGCAAGAGGCTCTTCTCCATGCGCCTTGCCATTGGCCAGACACGACTGGAATGGGCCTATGTTTTGTTTACCACCAGGGTAAACTGCTGTATCATTGTATTCTTACCATAAGGCACACTGTGGGGTTCACCATGTCCCCATGTATTCACAGGCACTGAAACTAACAGGCACACCTCCTGTAGAGACTGTGCCCACTGCTTTCTGTCATTGTTAATCCAGCCCTTAGCACTTTACACAAACACTAGTTTCATGGGTTCATGTTATTTTCTAGAAAGAAGTTATTTTGTTTGATCACATAACCTTGTCCTCCCCAGTCCACCTTACTTTTCTTCTCTGGCCTTACTTTTCAACTACTAATACCCAGGCCTTTTACGCTGTCCTTTTATTGAAAGTAATAAATTAAGACATCCATCATGGGGTTGACATTTTGCCTAAGGATCACCAGTGTATACCCTGCATGCTCACTGTGCTAAGTACAGGGGAATCATTTCAGGAGCAATACTGATGTCTATTATAATTTGTCAGTCTTGTGCTGTACACATGTGTACAGTGTAACACTTTGTAAGGAAGAGATAATTTAAGAAATGGTGTCTTCTCTGAAAGCATCCACCAGTCTTTCACTGAAGTTGAATCTGCTGCAGGTGCTAAGACTCTATCCGATCATCCTGTGAGTCAACACTTAGGGTGGAACCATGGCTACTGGTATCGGCATTTTCATAGGATTTTTGGTCTTTGGCGAAGTTGATGAATACCTGAGTTTTTTCAAGGGAATGGAAGACATTAGTAAAAAAAGGAAGAAATAAGGCACTCTCTTTATCTCTTTCTTACCCCCCTTGCTACTTTCTTGCCTCATGCTTCTTTCTTGCCTGTCTTCTTCCTCATGTTTCTTCCCTGTCTCTGTCATCCTGCCTCTCTCATGTCCGTATTCTGACATGGCCTCTCACTCTTTCATTCTCCTCCTCCCACAATAAACCTTTTTTTTGCACAAAAAAGAAGAAGAAATAAGGCTTCTATCTCTCTCTCTCCCTTCCTCTCTCTTTCTCTCTCTCTCTCCCTCTCTCTCTTCCTCCCTCCTTCTCTGCCTTCATCTCTCTCTCCCTCCTCTCTTCCACTCTCTTTCTTGCTTTTCTTCTTTCCCTACATGCTTTTCTTCTTTTCACACACTGACAGGTTAAGAAACCAATATTTCTTCAGGACATTCTCACTTATTCATGCCCTCCCTAAAAGTCCATTTATTCAGCCAGCTTCAACTGCCTTAAAAATAATGTCCATTTCGGGGACTATGACTACTTTTTTTGTTATAGCCTAAGTTTAAAGCTATAGTTTATATCTTCATCATGTATGTATAAGGAGCCCAGCTTGATGCCCTATCAAATGTTTAAATAGAAATGGCAAGAGAGAATTCACTAGCTTCAAGAGGTAATGCACAAATAAAATTTATATAGAAAACTCCCATTATGTTAAGCTTGCCAATTATCTAACAGGCAGACCCCTTTATATGATTAAAACCATTAAACTTATTAGTTGTAGATTTATCCCATTGTCACTGAGAATGTAGTTTTCCTATGCATGATGCTCAATGTTAATCAAATAAATCTAAGACTAATTCTTCAGTGTTGTCGAAGTCATTGTTGCCTTAAGTCCCTATAAAATATTAAGCCATAAGATGCAGCACAATCCGTTGACTTACTCTCAGACCCCTTTCAAAGTCAAGCATAGAGTTTATTGTTGTAAGTCATGTTGGTTGAGCTATATAAAACTTAGTGAAGAGATTGATGGATGACTTAGGAAGCTATTGAGTGGAAAGGTAATTAAGATGTATAAGGAATTCTTCATTTGCTGTATTAAATGTGTGAATTTAATAAATGTAAGGGTCTGTACATTTCTCGATCACTCATCCATCCCATATACCCTATTTCAGGAAACTGAGTAATGGAAACCTTCGTCATGAAACCTACCAAAAAGAAAGTAGAGGAGGCATTAACAGCTAATTATTTTGTAGGTGACAAGAATGGTTTCCTGCTTTCCATGAATATAAACATTTATGGAAGTAGATGTCATTTACAATGGAAAAAAATAACTAATTTCTCCACTAAAAATAGTTGCTAATGCCTTTCATATCTATTTTTTAATATCTCAAATGTAGTTAGAAATAAATTAGGCTCTTTGCTAAGGTTTTCAGGTGTAAGATTAGATACTGATTTAATTAAAAGTAAATTAAATGTCATTAAGAAGAAATAAGCAGGATGCATAATAACTAATTTGTGACACTGTGCCATGGATCATGGCATGCATTTTACCTCTTCCAGAGTCGTCTGGCTCACGAGGAAATTTGTGATATTTAAAGCAGTCTTGTTGGTTTCCAGAAGGTCAAAAATGTTTGCTACTCCTCCTGCTGTGACTGGCACATGGTATTCTAGCATGCTAAGATGCTGATCCTGCAGGAAGCAAAGGGAAAGACTTGTTTTACAATGGCAAGTTAACATCAACTTGATTGAATTTCACTTTACTGAGAGCTGGAGAAAATGCTGAAAGTCGTTCCACTGGAAGAAACAAAAATCATGCCATGGTTTAAATAATGGGTATATTTTGAAACTAACAGCTTATAGAGATGAGATGAGAAATTTTATAAACATCAGAAAGAAAGCAAATTAAAAGGTTAATGAAAATTTCAAAGCATCCTGGGCTCTTGCCCATTCAGAAAGTTACAATCTCATCTAGAGGGAGGAAATTCCTGTAGAATGCGTCCCACACATTCAGCTTGTGGATCAGTTTTAGTAGATGTGCTGTGATGTTGAATAGGTCTAAAATTCCTGGACTTGGCTGTTCAGTTGATGTGAGCTAAAAAGTGCTAGACTTCAGTAGTGTTAAAGTTGTCTAGAAGCCTTTTTTTTTCTTTCTTTTGATGATGCCTACTTTTCTTGACACACAAGGCTCTCTGTTTTTAAACTTTCACCACTGGGATTATCTACTTTAAAATCTGTTGTGACTGTCCTGGAGTATCTAACACCTGCTGTTCTGAATGTTTCATCATTTACCATCTAGGTTTTTATTTGGGGGGGGGGTGTTTGCTTGTTTGTTTACCTTTAAGACATCTGTCCAGTTTGATATTTTTCCCTCTATTTGTACCATTCACACTACTGACTTGATGCTTCTCACTCTACATCTGAGTTACTGCAACGACCTCCTTGGAAGCCCAGAGATCAGGCATGCTGATTTGTTTTGCCACAAAGCAGCCAGAGAAGTGAATACTAGTTTGACCAAATGTTGTCTTCCCCTGGAATCTACTCCTGTGTGTCTGTAAATCTATCAAGTCGATGCATTTTTTTTCTTTCTTTCTTCCTTCCTTTTTTTTTTTTTTTTTTTTTTTTGAGACAGGGTTTCTCTGTGTAGCCCTGGCTGTCCTGGAACTCACTCTGTAGACCAGGCTGGCCTGAAACTCACAGAGAGCCACCAGCCTCTGCCTACCAAGTGCTGAGGTTAAAGGCACCCACCACCATCTTCTGGTGTCTCAGCCTTATTTTCAAGACTTTCTGTTTCTCCCCTCCTTATCTGGAGCCCAGCCTCTCCCATAAACTTATACTCTCCTTGTCCCTGTCCCTGTAATCTTGCCATCTTGATATTTAATTCTCAAGTGATCAGACAGCATATTTTTCATCTAAAGAGATGTAGATGCTACTGCAGAAGTATAAAGGACATGCTCTTAGGGAGAAATTGCCTTTTATCATCAGCTCATTTGCATTGGGTAGCTTTAGTCCCATGACGCACACACCAGGAAAAATGGAATCTCAACTCAGTAAATAAACATTTCAACCAAGCAACTGACAGCATTAGGTGAGACCAACAACGTTTGTAGAAGAAAAGTGTCCTTTACTTCAATTCTGATGATTAAAAAAAAAATGAGCTTTGACAAGAAACTTAAAAGCTAATGGTCCTAAAGAATTTATCCAAGGTTTGGGGAGACTGAGGCAAAATTATTTTATGAAGATAAAATAATTATTTTAAAAACACATTCTTTTGCTGCCTTCACATTATTATTATGCCCTATAGTTTGTGAAGACACCAGACACTTTCCACACCCATTTTGTAAAGTAGATGTTCATTCCTGCTTACAAAGAAGAGAGATGAAGTTCTTTAAATATCCCCTTAGATATCTCCTCCCAACAGCCAGCTCAACTCCGAGCTTTCCGATTTCTTTTCATTATTCTACTTTGATTTCCTTTTTGACAACAATTATTTGTCATCCTCAATTTGTACAAATGACCTGTCTATCAAGGATGTGATTCTGATAATTTCTCTGCCACATACATTAACTAGGTGCTGTGTGAGACTTAAATGTGTGTCTCCCTGTGTGTTCATCTGACCGGTTTTCCTGGATAAACAAGAAGAACCAGCTCTCAGGTATTTCAATCACTTTGGGAGCTGAGGATTGCTCAGACCTTTGTGGATTTATTTTTCAAAGGAGAGAAACAAAGTAGATAAAAATCTCCTGGCTGCAGGATTCTAAGTGTGCCACTTTTCTTTTACTAAGAAATGCTGCTGGTCATATAACACCTGTCATTCCTAGGCTTCTTAATGTATGTATGTAATCATTAAACTGGCAATGTATGCAACTTGAAAACAAATCCAGTGTGATCATAAAGACTTTGCAAGGAAGAAATTAATATGCAAATGTGAAATATCTAGATTAACTTAACTACCTACCAAGATATATAATCTGGAGATTTTATTTGTTTGCATAAAGTTCACATCTTGAACTAGTGGGTTAGGATGAAAAACAACGCTGTGATCCACTAGGAAATAGCACTCACTTTGTTATTACTCAAAAAGCCAATCAAGGTCAAAAGGTGGAGACATCACTTACTTTTAAGTATGTTTTTGGAAAGTGCAGCTGCATAAACCTTGTGAGGTTTTCCATGCTCACTTTATTATTTTTCAAGTGAACCTTGACAGTAAATCCACGTCCAAACCTAAAAGTGCAAAAATACAGTATGAGTTGTATTTTGCCACAATAGCTCCCCTGAAATTCTAGATAATGAAATATATCCCAAGCTGACCATTATGGCCCCTTTTCTTATATAAAGACTGTCATTTTGCTATAAAAGTTCAGAGAATGTTGCAAACTGGAAACGTTCAATGCCATGTTTTGGTTTTGGTTTTTTGTTTGTTTGTTTTTAATTTCTACCTCTATACTGCTTCAAAATCTTGGAGCAAGAGCCACACTGAAATGAAAACACACAATCTTGGCTTTCTTTGACAGTCATCAATTAGCAATAATAGATGTCAATTTTGGGAGTTGAATTCTTTCTGTTATGCCAGGCAGTGGTGGCACATCTTTAACCCCAGCACTCAGGAGGCAGAGGCAGTTAGATCTTTGTGAGTTCAAGACCAGCCTGATCTACAAATTGAGTTTTAGGATGACAAGCACTACACAGAGCAACCCTGTCTCAAACAAACAAACAAACAAACAAACAAACCCAAAATATCTTTCTAAATTATAAAGTAGAGCAAAGTCTTGAGAGTCAGGCCATTGGAGATTTGATGTCAACCATGAAGATTAAAGACACTGGGATTCCAGCACTAAGTATGAAGTCAATATGCTGGTGTTACCTATGCTAAGGGCAGAGTTCATGAACAGGTTATGACACTCTACAAGCAACTCTAGGTCTCTGTCATTATTTTATCTTTATCTCAGATAATACTATTTTGATAAGACAATTAAATTGCTATACGGAAATATATAAAGTGTCATCCTGTAGTTGGGAGATTCACTTAGATATGTATAAATGCACATACACTTGGGATTATAAATTAATAATTTAATTTTAGTGTGATGCTAATATGGTATTTATGCATCTTTCCCCAATGCATTCTTGATTAAAAGGTTTTCAATGTGCTAAAATGTTAAATAGCTTACAGAAAGCTTGTGCAAATGGCAAACGAACATGGTAGATTAAAAAAATCTATGCCTTCATATACTTGTCAAGTATAATTTGTTATTGGTTATATTCTTGAAACTACTTCCTGGGAGTATTTTTGTTGTAAATGATTTATTATTATGACTATTAGGAGCTTCTAACTTTCTAAGACCTGGGGGTTTTAACTAAAACATACAATAAGCCTTTAATCAAATAATCTAAATTTAAGATGAGTCAATGATTACTTCCAATAAAGGGTGTCTTCATCTCAGGCTTTCTATCCATAGCAGCCATAATGGTCAGAACAATTCCCCTACACTGTGTGCAAGCAACGTATTGTTGGTTACCTGCTCTTTATATGTTGCAAAGATCCAATGCATTGAAACCTTCCGTTCACCATAATGGCCAGCCTGGTACAAAGGGCTTCACATTCTTCCATGCTAAAAGAGGTAGCAGATTACTATCAACATCCATGCCATAGACTATTGGCTTGAAAACATTAGTTCATTATGGCACCATTGTAATCTCCCTTGAGGGTTCTCTTGAGAAGGCTTAGCTGTTAAAGAATAGGCTCACAACCAAAATGACAAGAACTCTCTATTGGGAAAGAATTACAACAAAAAAAACATAAATTATACAACAAAAAAATAAATTAAACATATTCAGATGGGGATTATTACTGTCCTCTTACACCTGAGGCCATCTCTCTTGTCTGTATCACGTCCACTGTCAAACCTAATAGTCCTTTCTGGCTCGTTCAAGCTCTAACTCAAGACCTACATGTGTTATGAAGTGTTCCCGAAATGACACAGAGCATCTTTCATGCTATCTCATATTCTATTTGATTTTGTTTTGGGGTTTGTACCTGATTACAAGCTCTCTCATTTCATAACTGATGACACCTAGAGGGACTCCCAGATATTGTCCTTTTCACGGCATGCAGAAGTTCATGGAAATAAAATGTTTAGCCTCGGGGTGATGGTCTAGAAGCTGGCATACAAACAACTGTCATAATGAACACATCTAATTATTTTCTGCTATGTGATCATTATAATGAAAGGTGAACTTAATCCAAAACATAACGAAAGGCCAATGTCATAAGAGAGGCATAGATAAAATGCTCCAGCATCTTCATACTTAAGAGACTCAGAGGGCTACTCTGTGGAAGAGAACCATTCGAGTGGGTTCTAGGGGGACTGGTAAAATGAGAACCTCCAGCAAGTTTGTGGTGACTACTTCAAGAAGAAAGCACATATAAAGAAATACATAGAGACAGAAAGCCCAGAGTGTGGGTGTGGGACCAAGAATCATTCAACCTGACTAATGAGAGGAAGTATTATGTGGGGAAACACTAAGGATTCTGAAACGTTTTCAAAGGCAATAGGAAACAATAGCTTAGAATAAGCAGGTCTTATGTCTTGAGAGCTTCACACTAAACATGTCTGCTGAGTCCCTGTGCCCTGTTCAACCACAGTGTCCTAACTGTGAAGGCCAGTCTTGACCTACTGCAAACATGCTCCAAATGGGCTGCTGAGAGAGAGGGCTCAGCTGGCAAAGGCACTTGCTTCCAAGACGAACTACCTGAGTCTGGTCTCTGGGATCCACATGGCAGAAGAAGAAAACTGACTTTCTCAAACTGTTCTCTGATCTCTATAAGCAAATAGATATCACACGCACACACACACAGAAACACACACACACACACACACACACACACACACACCACACACACAAACACACACACACACAACACACACACACACTCCTGTAGGCGTCTTGTCAGTGAACCTGTAATGGTGGCCACACCCCTTTGGGTTGGCTTTAAGGGGACAGAAGTGAAAAAGAGGGAAGCTTGAGGCTTGGCTTCTGTTTGGGCACTCCTTTCTGGTGGGTCAGCTGATCTGGTAAGAAGGGCAGAGAAACATTCCTGCAGTTCTTTGTATTTTTCTGTGTAAGTGTTCCCGAATAAACACCCATTTATCATTTATCTTGGGTCTAGTGAAATATTTACACCCACACCTTACATCAAACACCACACATCACACACCACACATACACCACACAGCACACACACAAACCACAGACACACCCACACCACACCCACACCACAAACACCATATCCACACTACACACACACACACACACACACACACACACACACACACACATACACACATGCACACATATACCACACACACCACATCTACACCACACACCACAGACACACCACACACCACAGACACACACACAATAAAACTTAAAAAAAAAAAAAAGATCTACAAGGTTGACCCCCACTAACAATCTAAGCAATAGTGGAGAGGCTACCTTAAATGCCCTTCTCCGATAATGAGATTGTTGACTACCTTATATGCCATCCTAGAGCCTTCATCCAGTGGTTGATAGAAGCAGAAGCAGACACCCACAGCTAAACACTGAGTTGAACTCTGGAATCCAGTTGCAGAGAGGGAGGAGTGATGAGCAAAGGGGTCAAGACCAGGCCAGAGAAATCCACAGAAACAACTGACCTGAACAAGGGAGAGCTCATGGACCCCAGAATGATAGCTGGGAAAGCAGCATAGGACTGTTCTAGACCCCCTGAATGAGGATGTCTGTTTGGATGTCTGGACAATCTATGGGGCCTCTGGTAGTGGATCAGTATTTATCCCTAGTACATGAATGGACTTTGGAAGCCCACTCCACATAGAGGGTTGCTGTCTCAGCCTAGACACAAGCGGGAGGGCCTAGGCCCTGCTCCAAATGATATGACAGACTTTGAAGATCCCCCATGGAAAGCCACAACCTCCCTGGGGAGCAGAAAGGGATTGGATAGGCCAGTGGAGGGCAGGGGAGGAAGGGAAGGGAGAGGGAACAGGGATTGACATGTAAAACAAGCTTGTTTCTATTTTAAATTAAAAAAGGAAAAAATACTTCAAACACTGATGAGTACTTAGATCATACATGTGCTACATCAGAATTCCCAGGGACCTGACTCAGTTTACCTGTGAGATGTGAGGATGACAGAGCATTTGTTCTGCACCTCCTCTGAAATGATCCTCCAGAGGTGTCGTTTTGACTTGGGATCCATCCCCGAGCTTGGCTCGTCCTTAATAGAGAATTACCAGGAAAATGTGTCAAATTAATTCATTTTTGATACGGCTCTTTAGAAGAATCACTATATCTCAACTCCCTGGGAACAGAAATCACGTTTCGAGGTCCTGTGACTAACTTGCTTTATGCGTGTATATGTTTTATACATAATAGGCTTTTTCTACTGCTGTCAAAAGCTCAGAATTAAGTATTTAAAATCATCAGTCTGTTTAAAGAAGTGTTTCAGCGAAGCTGACATCCTGTTACTTTACATCCGTCTCTTATGTTTCCTTGGAAAAAAAAAAAACTACTTCAATTACCAGAAGAGCAGAGTTTTTACATTTAGTTATACATTCTCTCATATGTATTTGAAGCTCCATCAACAAGATTGCCATCTTTCCCCTGAAAGTGGAATTGTGACTGCCTTTGATACTGTATTATGTGGAGCAGAAGAAACCACAACTTGACATTGCAGTGAATATATTCCACAGGTATTTCTAGCATTTTGTTATTAATTGAAATTTAAGACTCTTTGGGAAAATGAAAATAAGATTGGTTGAAGTAGCCAAAGTGGAAAACCCCACAATATTTTCCAAAACAAATGAGGCTTTGATAGATTCAGACAGAAAATACTTTTTAAAATGAAACAACAGATAATGTAAATAAGTAATAATGGATCCCAACAGGTGATAAATAAAAACAAATTATAGGTCCAGATTAAACAGAAATTTTCAAAACATATGTGTTATGGAAAGAATTGGGCCATTAGAATTATGCTCATCACGGGTACTAGTATGCTAAACTTAGAGCGATGAGTGTTGCTTTGAGGAAATGATAAAGGAGGTATTGTCCTGATTCTGTTTTTGAAGAAAATGGAAAGAATATGCAGTATATTCATAGGGCAGTGTCTTCATCTTATAGCCTGCAATTCCTCAGCTCATTACAACATAACATTTACATGGTACTTTTACATGCAAGTGGCTTTACATCTATTATCTCACAAGGATGCCCCAGGACTGTTTTGTTCAATTTAAGGGATGCTTACACAATAGGGTTCCATTATAAACATTGACCGGCAGCGATGTAATGCATTATAAGCTTTCCGTATTCTGGAAATATGGTCTGTCTAGGCAGTTTAAATGATTGGATCCACTGTGTGACTTAATCCCTGGAATAATGTGGTGATTTATAACGGGATTTTACTGCATGCAGTTAAAGTTCTTTTAAAATTTGGAGGTCCTTGAATGAAGGCAATTTTCCAAAATAAGGACATGTTTATTTCTCTGAAATAAAGGTCCCTTTGCTTTGGTGGAACTCGGGAGCAGACTACTATATCACTAATATGTATAATTTGTATTTCCAGGTGATCAATTAAATTGTGCAGCTCTTAACCAAATATAAATGTGGAATGCATTTTGATCCCATCCAAAATTCATATAAGACAACACTGTATTTTCCATGACTTCACAACTAAATAACTCTTATTTTTAAGCTACAAAAGAATATAATTTTAGAACAACACGTTGTTCTAAAATGCACCTTTCTTCCTCAGTATAAAAAAAATAAAAAGGAAACCGCTAGTTGACTTGATCAGGACCTAACAGAAATATGATTTCATCAATAAGTGGGAATTAGATTTGAACCTGTTCTATAACTTATTTCAAACCCCCGAGTTTGTTGCAGCTGCATCCTGTTCACATGCTGAGTGTTTTCTCTGGAGCCTCCTGAGCCATTGCTTCAGACACAAGATGTTTCCTGAGGACAGTGTCATGATCATAAATTATTTGCTAATACAAATTCTCCTACCATGGTCGTATGCGTGCTTTGACAGTAACAGGGACACAGTGAGACTGCACTACGTGTTGGCAGTGCTGCTGGTGAGACGACAATACAAGTTTGGATGTCACGTTTCTAATTCTTCATAGTGTTTGTTATTCGTAATGCCTCTCTTACCAGCAGGAGGATGGATGGTTTCCCTATTAAGGCCAGGGCAGTGGACAGCTTTCTTTTTGTGCCATAACTGCACATGGAGGTAGATCTGTCCTTGTAGGGCATCAAATGGAGCCTCCTAAGGAGTTTATGAACAGTCTGTGGATAACAAGAAGAGGGATTAGGCAACCCGCCCCTTAGTCAAGCCTTTAAAGCACCAAAATGGAACAAAACATGCCTGTGAATAGACATGTTTCTTGTGGAGAATATGCCTAGGAGAAATAAAAGTATTTAATTCAACACAGATTTCACTTTCAACTTTAAAAGATCGATTATAAATCAACACTTCATCAAAGAGGAAAAAAATAATTTCCTGGAGGTACATTTTTAAATCAGAACACCCGCCCCCCAAATGTTTGCATGTGTTTACAGTTGCAGACTACCTTATGCTGTTACCACAGGATTCTCCTACAAGGCTGAAAAGCTGAAGAAAACTAAGACAGAGGAGTTCAAAGGCAGGTTTCCCATTGATTGCCATCCTGCTTCATCTTTCATCTTACCAAGCTGTGAGCTGTCAGAAAGACTTTAAGTCTATTTAAAACTGACCTGCTATCAAAACTGCCATGCATTAGGAACTATGGATTCTTGCAGTTATTTTTATAGTTAAGTAACCCTAGCGAATGATGGAATCCTAGTTGGATGTTCCCATCAAGTCTCCAGAATTTGAAGAACAAAGGAATGTTGCCCCCAAAAGTTTAGTCATTCCATTACAAAAATAAATTGTTGCAGAGTTAGAGAATAAAAGTCAAAGTCAAGCTTGGTGTTGTAACTTAGCGGTAGAATATATGCTTAGCATGCATGAAGCCCCAGGTGCAATCCCCTGCAGTGATAAATAAAAAGTAAAGTAAAAAAGAAACAGAAATGGAAGCCCTTCTATTTCACTTGGACATTTTGCAGAGAATCATATGTACCAATATTTATTTGAACAGTTAAAAAAAAACACTAGCATCACCAATCAAGGTTCAACTTGGAGCCGAACAAAGGGTGAATATCTGTTTACTAAGGGAACTGAACAAACTCAGGCCAAGAAGCTTCTAAAGCTGAGCTTTTAGGCAGCTGTGGATACAGAATACACAATCAAGGCAAATTGGGGTCACTGGTTAGAGGGGCATGCTACAGTTTCCTATGTGGCATGTTGGCTTTGCCAGGAGTACCATGAGAGGAGGAATAGAAATAGCAGTGGTGTTCAAATTCAGCTATTTCCCACATATATACTCACTTCTTTGATGTCTTTCTCTGGAATACCATGTACTCTGGCATAGAAATACAAGTGTTCTTCCACAGTTACCAGGTCATCTAAGGCATCCTCCTGAGGGCAGTACCCAACCAATGAGCTGTGAGAATCCACATGGCCCAGGGATCTAGATGAAGAAGATTAGAACACATGAGTTTCTAACAATAGGTCACTAAGTATTGTGTGAGAGGTTTTGTCTTGGTTTATATAGAGAGAATTTTGATAAAAGAGGGAAAATACTCTTGCTACCAGAGTAAGAGTAAACTTCAGTCACTTCAACCATCCCCTCCTTAGGCCATGAAGATTTAATAACGAAATCATGAAACCACATAAAAATTTGTTAAAATTATGTTGTGCTCTATAAGTAGAAGTATCCATTTGTACCCGCTCTTGTTCCGGATCAGAATGTTTCCACTGGAAGGAATTATGTCTCCTGTCAGCATCTTAAATATAGTGGTTTTCCCGGCTCCGTTCACACCGAGGAGGCCAAAGCACTGGGGTGGGGAGCAAAGAAAAAAGATGTAAGTCATGGAGACATGTTGCTATTGTAACTCCTTCTTCGTCCCTGGGTGAGACACCTTCCCTGGAAGAATATATCACTAGAATTATTTCTGGATAGTATACTGCACTGCTGGCATGTGGTAAGACTTTCTCTTCTAACACAAATGGGAATTGGGTGCTCTTTTCCTCTAAGTGTCTGAACATCTGCACAGATAGAGGCTCTGCCTAAATATGTTGTAGTGCCCCTTTGTATGACATGATAAACTACCCCTCAAGTACGATGTGCTGGCTCAAAGAGGTAATTACAGTTATAGATTTCACATAATTTACACAAAAATCACAACTTTACTGAAAAAGCCACTGATGCAATAATTTATGTCATCGAATGAGTTTGATGCATACACTCTCCAGCTCTGCTCAGAATACTGAAGGAAGACAGACATATTCTTTATTCTTTCAAAGCTACCTCAATCCTGTGAAATACTTAAGAATAGCAATGAATGCATGCTAAGACATCCCCTCTGAAAACAGCTGTCTTTCTGGCAGACTTTGAACGTGCCTAGGAAAGAGAGATGCCAGAAAGCATCTTGAACAAGGATGATAGTCCTGTCAATAGTCTACCCCAGAGACAGCAACAGTGAAAAGGGGCTCTCAGGACTTGCTGTGTGCTGGGAGTGAATCTTCCTTGGCAACAGCAAAGATTCATACAGCAAACACCATACACACACACACACACACACACACACACACACACACACACACACATACACCTAGTCCATGAAAATACTCAGGGTTTGAGTTTTCTGTTTCTAGAAGAAGACTAAAACCATGGTTCCTACCTCTCCAGCAGGTATCCCAAGGCTGATGTTGTTAACAGCTATTATCTTTTTGTGGATAAGTTGATAGGTCTTAGTGAGATGATGGAGTTGGACCAGATCAAACTCAGCTGCACCACTCTCAACTCTTAATCTCTCAGCGCGCACATCTTCATCTTCATCTACTGTCTCCATGATAGGCGAGGAGACAAATTTTCTGAAGAAGAGCCTAAAAACCAGATCCAATGATTTTATTCGACAGATTCTGAAGTGATGCCACTCAGTCTGGACACTTGAATGCTCTCACTTCTCTTGGGGCATGCTACCTACTATTAGGCTGCTCTTACATTTGTTACATTACCCTGCTTATATGTCTTAAGTGGCAATAGTAGTGTTCTTCCCATATTCTCTGCAATGCTTGTAAATAATGATTAATTTCCCCGTATGAAATGTTTGCAGATCCACTGTTAAAATTCAAAATACCAATTTCAGTAACAATGAGATGCATGTCGTGAAGTCAGCTCCTGACCAGGAGTTCAGAATCATTAGTAGAATTCAGTACCTATGAGCCCCAAGTCATCCATCTCTTTATCACTATAACAACTGTCTCCTCCTCCCCCCCTCCACTCCCTCCTTCTCCTTCTCTTGCTCCTCTCCCATACTCTTCGTGCTCCTCTTCTTTCTCCATCTCTTCTTCCGCCTGCCTCCTGTTTACTGTGGTGAGTCTAAAATGAGATCTACACTCAACAATATTCTCTTTTCTGTCCTTATTTTTTGAAGGAAAGGGAGATAAAACCCAGCACGGTACTGCTGGCAATCCACAGGTCTCTCTTAAGCTCATCCATAATCCAAGCGCCATTTATTCTGTACTCTGTTTACAGCTAATGCCTCATCTCAGATCCAAGAAATAATTTAGGATTACCAGCCCTGCCAACTCACTAAGTCCCAGCCCCACCTCAGTGTCTTGCCAAGCAAACACCAAATCAAGAAAAGCACACACTTTAAAGTCCAGTAAACCAATCATTTCAGGTCTACCTTGGAAGTCTCTTCTTTTAAATGGTACCAGGATTCCCCAAACTGGTATTTTCTTTTTATCTCCTCTAGTCTAAAGCCCACTCGTGCAGTTAGTCTCCAAACATTGAAATGCCCTAGAACCCTCAGTCATGAACTGATTTTCTTCTTACTTCTATCTCTACTGTAAGCTTCAGTCTTAACCTGCATTTATCAGTTACCCCAAACTACTCCTGTGTCTTTGACTCTTGCATTCCAATCTGCACTGCTTCTACAAAATTACACCTGCTAATGCATCACATGATCATGGTGCTCACTGGTCAGTAGCCTTTAGTAGACCACCATTGGTTTGTCTGATAAAGTCCAAACCAGATCTCTCTACTAAGCATTCAAGGGATCCCATAATTTTTCAACCATACAATAAGCCTAAATGACCTATTTCATCACATGTATTCTATCTTCTAATCAAATTGTATAATTTTCCTTAAATAGCCTAAAATATTTTCCTTTTTCTTCTTTTCTTTTATTATTACTTAATTAAATGTATTTTAATTGGTAATGCAGGTATATATTAAAGTCAAAATGGTACTAGAAAATAGAATATGAAAAGCAAAGGTAATCTATTATAAGAAAGTAAATTTCTTTTTAACTCACATGGTAATGTTTAATGCTCATTTCTTAACCTTTCACTTTGGTTTAATGAATATTGGATTAAATATTACATAGATAATTGGATCATTCACTCTTTGTATGTACATGTGATACATACATATGTATATATATGTGTGTGTGTGTGTGTGTGTGTGTGTGTGTGTGTGTGTTTGGTTATATATGTGCAAGTATACATGCACACTTATGCAGAGAAGGATGTTGGCTGTCCTGCCCTATCATCACTCTTTACCTTATCCTTTGGGGAAGAGTCTGTCACTGAACCCAGGGCTTGCAGTTTTGCTTAAACTGGGTGGCTAACAAACCCTAGGGATCTGTCTGTCTCATCCTGCATCCAACAATGCTGGGGTTACAGTAATTTGCTGGGATATGTTTGGATTTTTCATGCAGGTGCTGGGTATCTGAATTCAGGTCCTCATGCTTACACAGCAAGCATTCTTTTCTCCACTGAACCACATTCACTGTGGCTCAATATAATAGAATGCTGGAGCTTTTTTTTCCTGCTCTTTTGCTATTAGAAATGGTTAGTACGGTGAATAACTTTGCATGCACAAGTCTGAGTTTGTGGTATTATCTTGGGAACACCTCCGAGGAAGGCAGTGCTGGATCAGGGTAAGTAAGTGCAGCCGTGTCCCTCTTTTCCTTTTTGATGCTCTCATCACGTCATCCCAGTCATCTTTCCTGAGACTCACTGCCCATGCTACACACTCACACTTCTTTTTCACTTCTGACCTTCAGGTCTTTACTATTTTCCTCAACTCGTCCTTTTTGTTTACACACCTGTCTTCTTTCCATCACTGACTTTTAGTCTCTTTAAGGGTAACAACTATGCTTACTTAATTTTTCTACTTATCCTACATAAATACTTGCAGGCAGGTAGGAAGGGTGTTTACTATTACAGATATTTACTAGAGTTAAATGAATGATAAGTTGGGCTACCATGTGTTTAGAAGGTCTTCGGGTAGACTTTCTCTTGTTACTAGAGGAAACACAAAGATTGTTGCTCATCTCTGAATGTTCTGACTGGAATATCAAGGAGGGCCAGCGCTGTTTTCAAGGGACTTACCTGAGCTTCTTTATCAGCCACTCATTGAGTAGGAGTCGCAACAAGAAAAACATGGTGCCCTGAGAAACCAAAGCCACAAACATTGCACCTAGTTTATCCATTTCAAAGGTTTCACTTGGGTATTCCACACCATATGCCTTTAAGAAATCCAGGACTGCTTGTTGCTGGGAGAGTTCTATCAAACCGTAGCCAAAACAGAATTGAGGGAATATCAGGAAAATTCGCTTGAGGGTTTCAGAAATAAGTTCTAGAGTCTGAAATAAGAGCAATGACAAAAGTTAGTTTTAGGATCCCAACAACTTGACAAACATCTAAAACCAAATGAAGACATGTGAGGAAGCTGGTGCAGATTGACAACTATTTTACACGTATGCTGGAATTTCATGTTGTATTTGCTATACAAATAGCAGAATTTGTCATCAAAATACAAGTAAAACAAATGTTTGTCTTGAAGTGTCCCAAGGTTCAGGTCCAGTCCTGGAGGCAAAGTCATTTCTAGACTTGCCTTAGAATAGAGGGGAGATAAGTCTAGCAAGAATGGTGGGATCCAAAGCTATGTCAGGGGGTTCCTGAGTGAGAGTGGGCTCAGGGAATCTGAGCCTGGGCAGAGTCCGACAAGGTGAAATGAGGTGGAAGGAGAGTCAACAGATATCAAAGAGGCACAAATGGCTCGTTTTCACGTTATTCACACCCCTTCCACCTGGTGATTTTCCTCCCTCCTCCTGGAGTGTCCTTGTCTATTCCTCACCTGACTTCATTTCCTCTCCATTCTTTTCCATTCAATTGCCTGGCACTGCTAGTCCTTCTCTTTCACTAATCGTAATTGTTAGCTCTGAATGGAGAGTGATGCTTACAATGAAGTAGATTCCAATACATGATTGAAAGGGAATGAATTAGTTTTTTTTTTTCTCTATGAGTGTTCAAATGAATCCTATATAACCCACAGTCATATAACTTGTCACCACTGCCCCTTAGGGATTCGTTAGTGAATAAAATGTTTAACTGACAGACTGGTGCCATACAATCTATCTGATTTCGTATCTGTCAGTTTACTCAAGACCTAGCAAAAGTCAGTATTATTACACTCAGTAAATACAATACTAAGCATTAGCCCAGATACAGCTTAATTTTTCAATATATAATTTCTCCTTTTCTAAACTTAATAAAATCAAATGATTTTTTTCTATTTAAATATAAAGACAATCTTTTCACATGGAACATGTTAAGGTTTCTATGCATTTTCTGAAGTTTAACTGACAGATAAAGGGCCTTACCGGATCATTAGGCTTTTCCTTGGAAAGAAAGTATACCACCGACAAGGAAACAATGGAATTGATGCCAAAAAACAGGTTGACACAGACATAAGTGATGAAGGCCATTCCTGTTTCATGGAAGAGACCAGCCAGCAAATACATCCAAGAAAATGTTGCGTAGCTGTAGGATAATAAAAGTTAAAATTATGCCTCAGTTACTCAATTCTACAAAGCAATAAAATAAAACTCAGATGGGTTTCCAAAGGAAAAGCAAACATGAGTGATGAATAGTGAAGCCCTGAAGCTAGGTCTCTATTTCATTTTGACAAAAAGACCCTCAAAGATGGTTTTAAAATGACAGCAAGGAACCTCTCTTTCAAAAAAAAAACCAAATAGTTTCCCATCATCACAACTATAAATTAATCCTCTTTGGGGCACAGTGTTACCAGGCAAGATTTCTGCTGCTCAGAAATAGGAGTTCAGTCTGAGTAAATCTTATCATTTAAAATTGAGGAAAGATAATGACATCGTAATAGGTAGCTAAGCCATCAAGATCTGGTTAGAAGACATGTGGCCTTAGAGGAGCAAAGATGAGCACCTGTAGTTTTAAATGGATCTAGAGACAGAAAGGCTCCATAGTTTCCCCAGTTTTTAACTAAAAGATACTACCCATGCTTTTGCAGTAGACCCATCTTTTCCACTAAGCATAAATTACATTATGCAACCAACCTGTATTACTCTACTATAGAAACAACAGTATGTAAGCCCATAGGCATCTCTAAAAGACAAACAAAATATATAGAAATAAACTTACATATACCTTATAAAGCCATATATAGTCATCTAATCTGTCAATAAATATATCCATATGTATTCATATGTTTCTGGTCATTCCAAAATATCCATTTTATATAATTTAGATTATGTGTATAAGTTAGTACAATGTGTGATACCCAGTAAGTGCCTGTTAGTGATAACAATGTTAATTTTTAAAAGTGTGTTACTTACAGACTGTGGACTAGCAAGTGTAACATATTGCTCATCATCACTCATGTTAAATGACCCCAAAACAATTGTAAATTTGCTAATGAGACTAAGGTTCTATGTGTCGAGGAGTGCTTACTTCTGTTTATTCTTATTCCTTTGCATAATCAGCAGCTTACCCAAACAGCAAAAGTAGAAGAGACACAGCTCCTAGATTATTTTCACTGTAGAAGGCAGGTAGCTTGAAAATTGCGATGACACCAATTGAAAATGCTACAGGGACCAAGTAAAAGACCTATGGATATAGACAAAACAATGTTGAATATATGGAGAGCATTCTTTTTAAATCAATAAGCCATCTAGTTTAAAGCTGCAGGAAGTTGACCTAGAAAAATTGTGTAGGGATAAATTTCTATTTATCTTCCTGTTGCATGTAACATCCAGCTTACTTTACATTTATTTCACTTTAGAATTTGTCTTCTCTGATATGAGGTCAAGGCAGTTTCCATCTAGATAGATATACAGGAAGTCCCTGGTGTTCTTGCCTCAAGGCTTAAGACTTGGGATCATTCAGTGACAGAGGTTCTGGGAGAAAGATAAGAAAGCCATGTTTCTTGGTATTAGAGTCAGTCCTCCAAGTATTGATTTCATTTTGGATGCTGCTCTCTCACATGGCTGCTTTCTGAGGTTTGGTTATCAGTGTTGGGCATTCTGTGCAAAACAGCAGGACAACCATTCTCGAATGCTCTTGAAATCACAGGTACATGAAGAAAAACCTCAGTATTCTGTTGGCAAGTAAAGACATTAAAGGCTGAAGAGTTTGCAGCAAGATGCACACATCGTAGGTGGGGGTGCCTCAACTTGGGGTTGGTGGTCAAGGGAATTTTGTGAATTGCAGTGAGCATCCGTATTTAGACAACAGGATCTCAGTACTTAAGTAGACCTTCACAGAGCACACAATGAAGCTTCCTTAACATTTAAGCTCCGTGAAGTCCAGAGCAGTCATTACCATTCTTTTAGACTTGGCTTCAGCAACAAGCACATTTCAGAGCTCACTGGATGCATTAACAAAATGGATCTGCGGTTAATTACTCTCCAACTCTTCAAGCCAATGATCTTGACAACAACTCAGACAATAGCCGCAGTCATGGGCAAATGCATGCTCATCTGGGCTCTTGGCCAGCATTGCTACATTTGGAGTCAAGACTGATCATTTGAACTTGGGGAACACTTCACAGAAAGGAGAGCGCTATCAATGAGATACATCCTTCTTGCCTCTGGTAATCTTCTCTAGTGTGTCATTCAGCGGGAGCTATGACTTTGAATTTTTCACTATTAGTTGATTAAATTTTTATAAGCTTGATTATTTGGCACAATGGGGTAATGCTGTTAAGCTTCTATTTTGCCACAGTAGTGGTTCTCAGACTTCAGTGTGCTTGAAAACCACCTGGGGGGCCTTGTTTGAAATGCATCCTTTCCTCACTCCACCTCCCAAGATACAGATTGAATAGACCTGGAGAAAGGCCCAGGAATCTGCATGTTAACATGTACTCTGGGAATCTGATATTTCAGAGATAGTAGAGGTAGGTTTTTTTCCTCCCTCCAATCATCAGAGTAATATAAGCCAGACTCAATTGATTTTTTTCATAATTTGCTGTCCTTGCAGTAGTAATTTGAATAATTAAAGCAAATAGCACTTGAATGTAAAGCTGATAGACTTCTATTCAAATTGATCCCTTCTCTCTTGCAATGACAAAAGTTACTCACCATGTCATAGATGAAATTCGTCACCCAGTAGCATGTCACACCAATGCCGGAAATGTGTTGCAATTGCTTGGCTTTGGTCTGATGCTCCCTGACAATGTAGGTGACAAAGCTGGCAGTGGTGACAGAGTAGCCCATCAGGATGGAGAGCGCCACTAAAATATCGATTAAACTGCTGATTCTATCATGAACAATAGGGAGAGGAAAGTACACATAAGTTTTTGGAGCTCTTTCCCCTTTCAGGAAGATTCATGACTAAGACTATCAACCAGACAGTGCATGAGCTAGCTGTGGCACAAATAAGGCTTCCTGCTAGGCAGCCAGATACTATCTTCGACAGGCCTCTGCTGTGACCCTGGAATAAATGGAGCCTTAGTGCATCTGAATTGGCTGGGGGTGTTTGACAGAAAAGCCTTGGTCTCCAAGGGCTACAGAGTGTATGTAAGGGATGTATAGATCTTGAGCAGAGAAACAGTACTTAAATGCTATGCAGGGAAGTTGGAATGATAAAGCACTTGTGCACTTGACTCGTAGCAGCAGCAGATTCAGTGAATCTGCAGTCAACAAGCTCTACTTGGCAGCTCTTCTCCACATCCTCCCAGAGCCTTCCTTTTATCCCAGTCAGTGACTTATATTACCGGCCCTTCTAGATTGACATTCATTCGGATACCACTGTGATTTCCAATTATTGAGCATTATACAGAAGCTCAGCTATGCCAACCAGAAAGGAGCCATGCCAAGGCAGGAGATGTGCTTACGTGGCTTGTTCCTGGTCTTGTACCCCTGGATAAGGATGGCTATACATGATGATCCCTGGAAGAGGAGAAAGTCCTGCTGTCAGAGGGTATTCAGTTTATCAAGAGCACCGACTTTTATATGGATAATATACAATGCTTTATTTCTTACAGGCTGAGCCAAAGAATTGTACTTCAAAGACTCTCATTTAAAGGAAAATGCTTTCCTCCCTTCATCCCAAGTCCCTCTGACTACTGGTTTTCTCTTAATAAGAAAAAAAAAAAAAAAAACACTGTCTGCTTGTGTGTGGGACCTTCTGTAAAGAGACAAGAACATATACAGCATGTGCCATACTTGGGAGTACATTCAAATGATTGCTTCCTGTGTTCTTCTGTCTGGTCATGCCTATTTGCATTTCAGCTTTATTTCAGAAATTAATGCATTTAAATAAACAACTCACATGGGCATCAATTATATGAGCCCCTCTAAAGAGCAGGTACCACCCAAGCCCTTCTTTCTGAGCTAAAGATAGTGGTCAGGAAACATGGTCCCCCCCAGAAGATGGCCCCTCCTTTTTTTTCTATTTCTAAGAAGCTTATTGTTTGAAAGTTCTACCTACCAGAGTTAGAATTGGGAACCTTGGTGTTGCATTTGCATAACATCCCAAGAAGCCTCAGAGCTTCTAGTTGCCTCAATATTAAATTAGTAGCCATTTAATTCCACCACAATCACAAATTATTGGGTTGTCACAGAGTTGTCTATTATTTCTGAGTTGGAAGCAAAGATCTTTCCTGTCTGTTTTTTTTTTTTTTTTTTTTTTTTTTTTTTTTTTTTGATCTTTTTTAGTCAGAGTTTAAAGTGGACATTCAAGTTTCCCAAAGGTCATATGTAGTAGGAAGGCAGAATGTATACTGTCTAGATAAATGTGGCAAAGAATGGTAAGGCATGAGACTGAGGATATCCTCTATACCCAAGGAGCAATAAACTGAGAAACAATTTTTGTGCTTACCACTTGGACGGTATGTATTAGGACACTTGGGTGCAATATTTGTGTGTATTCTTAAGGTAACTTAAATTGATAGCTTTTATTAGGAAGAGTGTGACACTTTCAGTTGAGTTCCTCAGCAATAGTGTATTGGATAGCCTTATGTCAACTTGACACAGCTTTGTGTTATCTGAGTGAAGGGAACCTCACTTGAGAACATGCCTCCATAAGATTGGCCTGTAGGCAAACTTGTAGGGTATTTTCCTAATTAGTGATGATATGGGAGGACTCAGCCCATTGTGGGAGGTGCCATCTATGGGCTGGTGGTCCTGGGTTCTATCAGAAAGCAGGCTGAGCAAGCTATGAGGAACACGCCAGTAAGCAGAACCCCTCCATGGGCTCTGCATCAGCTCCTGCCTCCAGGTTCCTGCCCTGTTTGAGTTCCTGTCCTGACATCCTTCAATGATGAACAATGATATGGAACTGTAATCCAAGCATAACCTTTCTTCTCCAAGTTGTTTTGGTCATTGTGTTTCACCACAGCAATATTAACTTTAACTAAGCCAAATAGCATGTTGAAGAAAATATGCAGTTTTTTTAAAGACAAAAACAAAGAAAACAACAATAATAAAAAAAAAAACACTTTGACCTCTGATTTTAATCACATTATAGGGAATTTACTTTTCCTATCTTCTGTGAAGATTAATGGTCTCTATTTTGTTTTGTTTTTATTTTTTAAACTGGCTCTCTCACTGTGCTGTCCTGGTTGGCCCAGAACTTACTATATAGACTAGGCTGGACTTGAACTTACAGAGATGAACCTATCTCTGTCTCTTTCCTGAGTACTGGGTTAAAGGTGTTGGCCAGTAAGCCCTGTAACTTTTTTTTTTTAAAACCAAGGTCTATTTTTCTCTTAGCCCTTCTTAAAGCCTGCTAAATTATAATATAGACAGGAAATGTTTGTCTTTTATTTATACATTCTATTCCTGAAATCAAGAAATATTTTTATTTAGCCAGAGGAATCTTTGCAAATATAGTTTTGCTTACTCTGAAAAATATTGTGGAATCAGGTGTTCTCATAAGTATACATTGAAAGATGAAGTAACATATCAGGACTAGACTTCTTTATCATAGACATCCCCACAGTTGCTACAGTGTCCAACACAATGTTTTAGGTATATGACTGAAACAATGGATGCTTATTAAAGCAAGTCAAACATTAAATCTCCCATTAGCCTCCTCACGTGCAACTTATATCAAATGGAGGCATTTTCTGCAGTCTGTATGGGCATCAAGCTAAAATTAGATGCTTCCAGTTGGCCATTGCTGCTAAGGCAACAAAGGATAAGACTAAACAGCAGGGTAGGAGGAGCATATAGCTGTATAACATTTGTCAGAGAAAACATGCAAACCAGTATTCTTTGGGAAGATAGAATTTCCACATGAATTTAACCACTAGAGGGAACCCCATGAATGTAACAGTTATTGACATTGCTGATGAAAGTTAATTAAAATATTTCATTAGCATATTAAGCTTCAGAGTAAATGAATTTTACAGCTAAAGTAAAACCCAGTTCACTTAGAATCTAACAAAGATGCTTCAAACAAGTAAAGGATGGTAAGGAAAAGGTGATGAGAACGAATAGGTTGAATTTTACAGACAAGCTCTCTTGTCATGGGAGACCCTACACAGATTTCTTCTTCCAAAGGAACAAAATGTCTAGCAGAGAGGGTAGAATGTTGTTACTTTCCATAAATTTGAATAGTAAAATTTAATAAAGAATAGAAGACACACTGCTCTTAATTTATGTATAACTTCACTTATTTTTAAATTGAAAAATAAATTTCATTTTAGGGTCAGCATAAGTTTTATGCTCCCAGATGCTTTTATACTCCATAACTTAAAACACAATGGTAAGGCCTTACAACAGGCCTCCTGGAGCCTAGAGTGGCTCCAGTTGCATTAGTCTAAGTAATGAACACTAATTATAAAGGAAACCAGGACATGGGTTTCCAGAAGCTGAGCCACTAAACGACGTGACATTCTCCTGTTCTCTGTATCTTTGCTACTTCTCCCTAGCTATTTCTATAGCTGCTACACTTTCATTATCTGTCCCAACAATACGTGTCTTTTGCTCTGAATACAATACCCCACAGAAGGATTTGCAACCTATTTCAATCCAGGTGACACTCACCTGGCTTTTAGTCACCATGTCATTTTAGTTACTACTTTTGACTTTGTCCTTTATTAATGTGCTACACCTAAGGACTATCCATCTTGTTATTTTCTTTAAAGCTCTTCCTGCTAGGGGGGAAAAAAAGCCAAACAGTTGGGGGAAAACACTATTTCCTCTGAAAATATCCCCGAAGGCTCTGCTGCCAGAACGTGTATCTTGACACTAGAGTTTACCTCCACAGTTATGAGCACATTAAGCAGACACCAGAATGCAAGAGGGTAGGGTGATGAACGAATAAGGGGGCAAGGTCAGCTTTTATAAAAGATAGTGTGTGTCATTTATCCTTCCTAACAGGCTGTTTATTAGGCTGTGTCCTGGACAGCAAATGTATTACTTCATTTTCATCCCCCCTTATTATTGTGTTTTTAGGATCATATGGAAAAATAATTTGAGCAAGGCTCAAAGAGATGAAATGGTCTGATGAACAGTAATTGAATTAGAAAAAAATAAATCAACTTCTTTTACATCCCTGCACTGTTTAAAAGTGATGTGGAGGGCTTTGGGGAAACAAAACTGAAGTGCATCTGGCTGAGGCTGGATAAACAGCTAGGGGCATCAGAAGAAAGAAGAGGCAGGACTCAAAGAGCCCTGAGTTCAAATCTCACTTCAGCAAATTAGTGGAAGCATGGGAGTGATGGGGAATGTTCTGTGTATGTTTGTCCTATTGGTTGATGAATAAAGTACTGTTGGTCAATAGGGAAGCAAAATGGTTGGGACTAGGAGTCAAGTAGGATTCTGGGAAATGTAGTAAAGAGAAGTTGCCATGTGATCCAGGCAGGAAGTGATGTAACAGGGCAGACTCAATATATAAGCAGGGACAAGCTGGAAATCACTCTCCTCTCCTCTTCCCTTCTCTGTGGAAACGCTGAGCAGATGTGATGTAGACTCCAAGGGAGTAAGAGGCCCAAACCTTTTCTCCAGTAAGATAAGGCCATGTGGAAATACATGGATTATTAGAAATGGGTTAATAATTTGACAGAGCTAGCCAATAAGAAACCATAGCCAATGGCCAACAGCTTTATAACTAATATAGCATCTGTGTGTTTCTTTGGGGAAGAGAAGGGCGGTAGGACCTAGCTGGGCCAGAAAACCTCACATTACATGAAAGCATAGTAATGTTAACCCCAAAGGGAGCTGTAAGTAGCATCAATATTTTGCATAATGTATGTGTCATATTAAAAGTGCTCCATATATGGAAGCACTCTGGGTACAATGTAGAAGTTTGTGTTTTAAAAGTTTTGTCTTCCTAACAGAGTGTGGTGGTGTCCAACTTTAATCCCAGCACTCAGGAGGAAGAGGCAGGCAGATAGATCTATATTAATTTCAAGCCAGCCAGGGCTACAGAGTGAGAACTTGCCATTAAAAAATTTTTTTTGCTTATATAGATCTATGAAAAATAGGCATGAATATCAATTGGTCAGTTCTTGTCTGCAAACAAATAAATAGTTCTGAAACATTTTCCACAGGACATAACAACTAGCTGTGAGAGCAGAGTGGTAAGAAGTTTCAGTTACTATCCTGACTTGGCAAACGAGGAAACTAAATTAATCTGAAGTTAAGGGTTATCCAGAATGTCCCATCTTGAAGGAGTTGGAGCTGCAATTTAGATGCAGTAAACCAACCCACAACAAGGGCGAACAGATACAGAGAGCATGTTCACATTGAAGGCTGTAGGAAAGACCATAGTTAGTGATGGCTCTGCACAGTGATCATACCGTGCCTGGCAGCATCGTATTCTGACATGTTCACTCTGAGGAGGAAATTGTTGAGGCTGTTGAGGTAAGCTGGGAGGGAGTGGTAGCCTTCTGGGTCATACCACACCTGTCAAATTTCAAAAGAAGACAAGATTAGGTTGCAATCCAATAAATTAGGTGCTCTTTAAAGTATCTTAGGATGCTCTTTAAAGCATCAATTTCCCAATGATTCATTTCCACCCCAAAGATAATGAGGTACCCTTGGAATGTGGATCATAGACGGATCTGTGCATTTTGAATTATATATATGGACAGAGACTGGGGAGCCAGCTATATTGAGTAGCAGGACTGACTTAACAGTGGCTCTAAATCAGTGGTTCTCAAACTGTGAGTCACCATCCTTTAGGGGTTGAACAAGCCTTTTACATCTTGCATATTAGATAGCCTGCATGTCAGATATTTACATTATGATTCATAACAGTAGCAAAATTACAGCTATGAAGTAGCAATGAAATAATTTTATGGTAGGGGTCACCACAACATGAAGAACTGTATTAAAGGGCATCAGCCTTTTAGGAAGGTTGAGAACCACTGCTCTAGATTCTTCTACAGGCAAAGCATGAAATGAACTAAGAAGCCATTGTATCTCTGTAGCAGATGCATAATGATTGAGACTAGAATGAAGACTCTTATTAGCAGTAATAAAAAACAGCAACAGAACAAGAGAAAGGTTTTTAAAAATTATGCAAATATTGAGTCCTTAACTACAAAACTGAGTTTTTTCTTAAACTTATAATTAGTTTTTCATTATAAATAACTTAAAGGTCTGGCTTAAAACACTTTTTAAAAACAGTAACAAAGTTTCTTTCAATAACTATTTTGTGTTGTTTATATACTGAAGTGTTTTTGTTTTTGTTTTTGTTTTTTTAGGGAGGGAGGGGAAATGTGATTGGGCTGGGAAAAATTAATCAATGAATAAATAATGAAAAAAAATATAGTTTTAAAATTTCCACTAACTTTCTGTGCCTAGTTAGGGAATAGCAACCCACAGAATGAGAGCTACTTTACCTTCCATATCAAAAGCAAGGCGTTTAAAATACTAGGCTGCTTCAATTGAAATGGTCTTTATTTAAAATTGCATTCTGACCTGGAGAGTCATTATTTAATATTAGAAACTCCCTTAATTATGAAAGGACATTTACTCAGTGTGTGGAGAGAGGAAGAAAAAGACACTTAAGTTCCGGGATTCTTACTTTCCACAGCATTGTGACAGTCTGGCCCAACAGTGTCTGTTGAGTAGGGATGTAATAAGAATGGAATGGAATAGTTTTTCTAAAGGGAGAAGCTGGCACTTGTCATGGAACAGTCACTAACCAGGTGAACATTAATTGCTCAACTTTCTCCTCAGTTGTATGTGTCTCTCACTACCCATGAGAAATGTTTAGAGGACATTAAAATTTTCTGTTTCTAAAAAGAAGTAAACAAATAAAATCCCTATAAGTGCTGTTTATCATCTGGGTAGTCATGTCTTTGGTTCGTTGACTGGCTTGTCTCTAAGCATTGGTGCTATCAGGGAGAAGAAAAACAAAACATTGATGTTATTTATCTCCGGTAATTAGTTGTTATTCCAGGTTTGGAGAGAAGCAAGGCTAAATACACACATTCCCCATCTCTAAAAGGTTGTGACACATACATAAAGAAAAGTGCATGAAGCATAAAGGCACAGTGAGACAAAAGAGTCTAAGGATCACACATACTAATCTTTCACACACTAAAATCATCACTGGAATGCTGAGCCCCTCCCTGATCTCTAGTGTTCCAGATCACAGCTCTGACCATTATTCCTTAAATGATGTGGTTGAGCTTTCCTTACCCTGTAAGTTTAGAGAAAGGTGAACATGGTCCATGCACTACTATCTGTCTGGCTCTTTTTTGCATATCAATGATCCGCAAGAGATTCAGCCTGCTTGCTATCCAGAGTGGAGTGCTTTCCGTTTTTATTTTCATTGAAAGTTCTACTGGATGGATGGATGGATATGAACCGTGTTTATCCTATTTCAGAAGGTGTTTGGAGCTGTGTTTTGGGCTATTTTGAGAAGCACAGTACTGTGTTTACTTGTCTTCTGGATCTTATGTATCCATGCCTCCTTAGAGTACATGTATGCATCACACAAAACTGGTCTTATATGTTTGTGTTTCTCACATGAAAATGCTTAGATATATCAATTTTACTTCCCTGTTTATATGACCTCCCAGAAGAAAGACCAAATTTACCTTAGCAAGAGTTCTATTGACAGGAACTGCTGTTATATCAAAACGAAGGTCGTTAGTCAATTTCAGCCCAAAACTCCAACCTCCATATCTACATAGAGCAACAAAATTTATATTTGTTTTAGTGGAAAAAATCTTCTGAAGTTAATCTAAAATATTTCAGTAGGAGCTTATATTTTCTTTTCCATCCAGAACACAAAACAATGAAATAAATACAACATGATAAATATTTTCTATTGATCCTTCTTATCATATTTTAACTCAAGCATACATCATAACTAAAGGTAAGAGATTAATATAATCTTTCTGGGGTGGTGGCTTGTGCATGTGATTTCAACACTCAGGAAACTGAGAAAACAAAGCTGCTATGACTTCCACGGCAGCCTGAGCTGCAACATGAGATCCTGCCTAAATAAAAATTCCCAAAGAAGCAGAACATTAAACAATTGCATATATGCAATGAGCATTTTTAAAAGAAATGATCTAATCTAAAAGCTCAACATTATAGTAATTAAATATTTTTTAGATAATACCAGAGCAACATAATTTATTATCTTTTTTCAAATTAATTAATTTCTGGTCTTATATTATTGTTTGTTCCCACATTTTTTCCTCTAAGATGCTTGAATGTGAATTAGGCATGTCAGTTTATGGTCTTCATAAAAATTGACTTTAAAAACCAAGTAATAATTTTCAGAATAGACTAGTTTAGACATTTGCCAAATTATATTCAACTTAAATAATGGGGCAGTGCAATTTACACTACAGTAACCTCATCCTAGATGTGATGGCACAGAGATACAGTTTTAGCATGCAAATTATACCATAACTTGTTTTTAAATGTGGATTTTTAGGCTAGTTTTTTGTAATGAATCTTTTATTGTAATAAATTTACTTTATCATAAAATATTTGACTATATGAAACACTTAATATACATGAATATAGAAAACACTTGGTTGTAACTAAACCCATGTCTGTGAAAATTTCAGGGATAAAAATAACAAAATATTAATAGTGATTGTACATGGGTAGAAAAATAATGATATTTTTCCCTTCTTCTTTTGCTTATCTTTAACTTAACATTTCCTAGCGAATGTGAAGAACTTATGTACGTTGAGAAATGGAGGAGAGATGAAGGGAAGGAGGAAGTTTTGACTATGCTAATTGGCTTTACATCATGGCAAATGTGCAGGGAACTGGAGGACAAGGCCTTGCATACACAGGACCCTTTGTCCACTCACAGGCACAATCTACATTTTGAGAAATTATTATTGCAACTCAGGCCAACCATCACAAAAAGTCATGCTTTGAAACTCCAAGTACGTGCAGGACAGTACATAACTCCTATATTGCTTTGGGATAAAAACAAGTACAGATTCAACAATACATTTTAAGACCTTAAAAAGCCAGTAATTTTTAGTTTGCTCAAATTAATCTTAATTTAGTCATTACCTGAATTTCAATACATAAAGCTATGTATACATAATAAAATACTGAACCATAAAAAACCTGCATCAGTGATCAGATCAATCATCAATAAATTAAATCGAAACAATGATCAATTTAACCATATAAATAATTTGAAACTATTGTCTCTACTGTCTCAAAAAATCTGTTATCATAAAGATCAGAAATCAATTAAATGTGTTATAAACAGACTGTCTTACCTTTTCTGCACAAAACGATTTGCAGTTGATATGAGATAATTTTCCATGTGGTTCCCAGTGAGGTTATAAATAACTTGGGAAGAATATATTCTTCTATGAGGTGGGGAATAATTAAATTTAGGGCATTCCTGGAAAATAAAATCAAATTAAGTTCTTCCTTCTTGTCCTGTGTGAGTTAAATAGACTGTTAAATGCCACTGTCTCCTGGTTTGTCCATTACTGCAAAGGTTAAGGTGTCAGTAGAACTTTTCTGCTGCCAAGAAATTGGAACAATTATTACTTATGTAAAGTATACGCATGTGTTGAGGACTCACCTACAGCAAATATATGATCTTATGTTTAACTGACAAGGTAACTTTTTTTAAACAGAAATATCTCAAATGTCTCAAGAATTCACAGGGAACGAGATAGTGATGTGCCTCAAATTTAAAAATAGCATTATGAGAAGAAACTCTTGAAAATGACAGCAGTGAATTGATAGTTCACAAGGCATTAGTTTTACCTACTTAACCTAGGAGGGAAAATGGTCATTAAATACCTTGGCTTACATACAGATTTTATGTATTAGTTTTATGCACATACATTTATTATTTAAGGACTAATTTTAGGCTTACAGAAAAGTAACAAAGGTAGTAATGATAGTTCTTGCGCCTCTTGAACCACTAGGAACATCTTAACATAGAGATCACATTTCTATTTATTATTTACTTTTAAGACAGGATTTTAAGACAGGATTTCTAGCTCAGACTGGCCTCAAGCTTACTATGTATGGGAAGATTCCTTTGACCTTCTGGTCTTCCTGCTTCTACCTCCCAAGGACAAAGATTACAGGTGTGCACCACTCTGTCCAGCTTTGGAGCTTGTGTTACACACTTCTTCTTACACTCAGCTTTCTACACTTCATAACAACCTTGCTGTTGTTTAGCTCCTGAAGTCTCATTGCCATGATATTTAATCTGGAGAGAGTCTAGCACAATGCAGTTTTGCCTTTATTCATTCACACCAAGTCCCAGAGCCAGAGGCTCACAGTGTATGGGAGCTGTATAAAGTTGCAGATTCCTCTGAAATGCCAAAACTGGATTTCACTGTATATCAAGTTGCATCTACCCAAAAATCAAACTTCAGAATGGCATTGGCTGCCCAATTAATCAGAGGAAGATGTCTCCACGTAGAAAGTACAGGTCTGAAATTTTTTATCAAATTTTATTATACGTGTAAAGAAACACATGCATTATAAAGGTACTGCTTGATGAGTTTTGACAAAGCAACACATCCATGAAATTAGCAACTATGGCAGAAGGCAGAACCCCATCAATTCAGAAGCCTCCTTCTCACACTCCCTGCAAATTGCTACCATCCCTCAAAGAACATAGATGAGGTTTTAGCCACTTCATTTTTTTCTAGCTAGCACACAAAATAATGAGTTTGTTGTTGTTAAATTAGAACAGGGAGTGAACACTCTAAATGGTAGCTGAGACTAACATTTAAAACTGAAAGATTCCAAAGTTACTAACAATAGTTATTATTGTTATTAACTATCTTGCATGAGAACACCAAAACAGTCTATGCTCACTGGAAATATTTTCATTGTAAAGTGTTGTACTAAGGTCAGGGTACAACCTTCTTACATTTGAAGAAATCATTGAGAAAGAAAGCAACTCCTCCAGCATGAGAGAAGTTGGTGGCACGGTGATTCTTAGAAACCAATAGACTTTTCTTCAATAAAAAGTTTTATTTAACATTTTAAGTGATCTTATCAATTGCATGAGTTTACGAGCCCAATGTTGTTTACATTTCATTTAAATACTGACTGCACCTTCTCTTCTCTAGGGTGATTGCTTTGATACACAGTATGTGTGTGTGATACAGGTGTAGTGACTCAAACAGAAATATGGAACTTGTCCAGTTAGCTTTGTTCTCCTGAGAGTTTAATGAGCTGATAGCTTAGAAAATTAAGATCTCTAGTCATAGTATAAAGATAAAGTGATTGTTGGATGAATTTTTAATTTCCAGGAAGGGAATCTTGATGCAAAAACCTTTGAGGTGTTGCTTGGGAACACATGGAATTCCTCTCTAGACTGACTGGTGACTGACTTCCCAGCTAGCTGCTGTGGTGGCATGCCCACTATATTTCCAAATAGGACAGTCACGGCCACTTTTTGTGCTGTGAAACTGAGCTTCTCAGCTGGAATGGACTTGAGATAGGGATTCATTCTCAGTTGGTTTCTAAAAGGCCACTGTCAACCTCTAGAAATTTGTCTCCAGTCAGATTTTTAAAACAGTGACCTGAAGTTCAAAGTCAATATTTTTTGAGCTGCATAGACCTATATCTTGAAGCTACTAGCTTCCATAAAATGAAATTACGCTGGCTCTTTGGTAACCTGGATATATCTTTCAAGTTTTGCTATTTATTCTCTTCTCTCACCCCTCCCCCTTTACTGAAACTGCATTCTCTTTTACCTGGACATTGTCTGAACAGGAGCAAACACCAAAGTTGTCAATAGCTTCTCCACTTGTGTTCCATTTTCCCAGACTGTCTTTTTGCAAACACTGCCTGTAAATAAAAACGATGCCGAAGTGAGGTGTGCATATGTGTGTACATGCATGTTCTCATGCTTGTGTGGGAGCATATAAATAAGTAGCTGGTGTTGAACTCAGGTATGTAGACCCACGTATGATTGGCTGATATTTAATAAGTTGATCATGCATTGCAATAATGTTTTTGATTTGGCGTTTAATGGGGGTGAGAATTATAGGACAGTCTCAACTGACTAAATGAAGTTAAATCAAAGCTCAGTGTATTTTCTCACTATGGAAGGAGAGGACTTGGTGTTCCCTTTGTTCATTTTATGCTTCTCATCCTCTCTGCTGATGCACTAAAGTCAGGTTAATATATGTTATGTGCTAGCTTGAACATTTAAATCAGCTATGCTATATATATGAAAATGCCAGAAGTGGAGTCAGGAGCCTTAGATCTTAGGTTACCTTTGTGTCATGCAATCTAGACTTCCTCAGACAAATACAAAGGCTCTATGGCCCCTAGTTTCTTCATCTGTAAAGAGATGGGGCAGTCTATGGGGCCTCTGGCAGTGAAACCAGTATTTATCCCTAGTGCATGAATGGACATTGGGAGCCCATTCCCCCATGGAGGGATACTCTCTCAGCCTAAATACATGGGGGAGGGCCTCGGCCCTGCCCCAAATGATGTGACAGACCTTGATGATTCCCCCATGGAAGGCCTCACTCTCTTTGGGAAGTGGATGAGGGGTGGGATGGGGGGATTCGTGGGGGGCATAGGAGAATGGGAGGGAGAGGGAACTGAGATTGCTTAGTAAAATACGTTTGTTTATAATTTAAATAAATATTTGTTTAAAAAGAGATTAATGGGGCTGGAGATGGCTTAGTGGTTAACGTAACTTGCTGCTCTTGCAGATAACCTAGGTTTGGTTCCCAGCATCTATATTGAGTGGCTCATAATGACTCATAACTTCAATTCTAAGGGATCCCACACCCTCTTCGGGCCTCTGTGAGGACAAGGTGTGCATGTTGTACACAGATACACATGTCGGTGCTCACACATACACATTAAAGAAAAATAAGTAAGTCTTTAAAAGCAATAAAATGGGATGAACAATATAATTCTAATGTAATTGTAAAATGTAACTATGAATATAAGAGGATCAAATATGTAAGGAATCTAAAGTTTATTATTATGGTATAGTATTGCCAATAAATGAATGAAAAGAAAGATAGAATCTGTTAGATACAGAATATCTAGATATTCATATCAAGATAATATCTTTTTCCAGAAAAATCACACACATGCACGTTATGTATTCCCACTCACACTCATGCAGACTACAATGTTGGAAAGAAGAAGAAAGGAGAACAACTTACGAAGCATTTGTATTCAAACACATGTTGTCAATGCCAGGGAAATTCCACAATGCTGAGACCAGGGCATTTGTGCTTGGATCAAAATTCCTGCAATATTAGGCAACATGGACTCCGTCACTAAACTCACATTCACTAATAACTTTAAGACATGAATTATGCCGTCTACAAACCTGCTTTTCCATTCCCTCCCTCCCTTTCTACTTCTCTGCCTCCCCCACTCTCCTCCCCTTCTCTTCCATTGGGGTGTGAACTCAAGGCCTCCACACATGCTAGACATGAGTTTTAGCACACAGGTACACCCACACTATAGGTGCAAAAGTTTATGAAAGATACAGGCTTTCCTGCCCTGAAGTTCTGCTATGACTTGAATTTAACAATCACATATGATTGAAGTCTAACCATTAAAAGTAAACATACACTCTAATTTTCTTTGTAGATGCACATAAATCCTCTTAAGAACTTATTTGTTCTAAGTAGTACGTTTCTTCAGCAGAATTAAATGCTGTGTTTTGCTTCACCCAGGCACAGACTCTCGAATCACTATGGAAACAATCTTGTTGGAAAGTAACTCACGCATAGAAGGCTGTCTGTTCGGAGGTCCCATAAATGGATGGAGAGATCATGATCTCGGGATAACTGTTGCTGGAATCTCTAAGCGTGCCAAGGCCCATGGCAGTGGCTACAAAGACGATGGGGAGGATGACCTGAGCAATGAGACCTTTCCAGTTCCTGCGGGTGTGGTGGAAGCGCTTGATGAGAATAGCCATTATCTTCTTCATCAACAGGCCAAAGCCATCCAGCTTCTCGCTTCTTGTCAGGACTTTGTCTGAGTAAGGACAAGAGATTTGATGTGGTTCCGGGTAACTTCCATAAATCTAGTTATAACATGACTTTTGCAAACCACAGATGAATGGGATCATGTTGTAGGATGGGAGAAGATTCTGTTTTCAATGTTCAGACTGAAGGTTCAGCCGTCCATTTCTAATATTGCTTTAAGTCAGGGACCACAATACATACCCCATATATAACTGAATATAAGAGTGTTATAAAAATTATGACTCACTATCACCAGTTACATACATACATGTAGTAATTTTAAATGGAAAAGTTAAAGATTCAGAATTGTATAAATAAATTCTGTTCCACACTCCAAAGTTCAATACAGACACAATATGTCATTACTAATTTTGAATATACAGAAAATAGTATTATCAAAATTGAATTGAAATAATATAAATAAAACATCAGCCTAGTGTAAGAACTGGTTCCTACTATAGTAGAGACTATTAATTCCATTGTTTCTGCTTCTAACATGAAGTCCAATGAACTCACTCTAAATGGAAAAGGAAACCATCTCTAAGATTTAATTCTCATTCAACCATATATTCATCACACTCTCATTAGAAATTTAGAAAGATTGTCGCCTTTCAAGACTCCACCTTCAGCCCTAGAGCATCCATAAAAGAATCATTGAGAACCTGTCTACTTAGCACTCCCACTCTGAAATGCTTTCTAAGGCCTGAGAAAACTTTCCAGTGCCTTTGGGAGCCAGGGAAGCCATGGTGACTGCAGCTGCTCCATGGGGCTCTTAGGGCTAACCATTTCATCAGCTTTCCACCCAGGTAGATTCAAGTAGAGCTGCCACCACCCGTTTTCACCTGTGATAAGACAATGGTGTTCGTCAACTCTGTGTACACTTAAAATTCTCCATCACAAAGCATGCAGCACAAAAATCATGATCTTCATTTAGCCGATAAGAAAAAATACAAAGCTGCTTAATTTAAAATGAATTCCAATTAAGCAGAGTGAACGAGCTTAAATGCAAACTCATATCTCTGCAAAAGGGAATTGTACAAGGAGCTGAATATTTTGAGTTAATTAGTAGTCTTTTCTGTTTCTTGAGAAATTACATGTGGATGACTTACAGGTGTGTCAGAATGGAGTGAACGTGCTTCCTCAAAGATAATGTCAATGAGGGGAGCATTCCGAATGAAGAATAACTTCAAATTAGGAGAAAAAGGCAGAGGCAAATACACAGAGGCAGATGACCACTTTCCAATCAAAGCCCTCACTTTCTCAGACTCCACAGACATATTCCCTAACAGATGACAAATGGGAAGACAGAGGAGACTCAAATTCCAGAAGTGTACAAACATCAGAGATGTTCTTTCCTGACTTTGAGAGACAGGCAAATGTTTACTAAAAAGTTCTGTTCCTGGAGATGTCTCCCACTTTAATCAAACTGCTGAAATGATTTCTCCATAATTCGTATATCATTTTACTGCATGCTTCCTTAAGTAAATCATGTCTCCGGGCTATAAATTAACTGTCAGAAAGAGACTAAGTGACAATAAAAGCTACTTTTAAAGGAACTTCACCCCTCAAAGTTGTGTAAAAACTGTGAGTTTTCAAATATATCCTGGGTGAAGAGTTGAAGGCATAGCATTTAAATAGAGATATTAACCTTCAGGTCTAACTTAACCAAGTCAGAGACTTTGCCCCCCAAAAAGGATTTTCTTGTCCCCTTCCTAATCAGAGTTGGAGGGAGATAGACAAATTTCCCAGTGAAAGGTGATAAAAAAATCCACAACCCAACAACTTTATTTTGTGTGACTTTGGTCCCACATGTGTGCATCTAATGATAGAGTGTCCCTGATAAGATAGTCATGCTCATTCCTTCACAGCCCTGATTGCCAGAGGAACTGTAACTTGTGAAGCACGCCTCTGAAATTACAGAGAGTTGCATCCAGAGAATCATTTCTGATGAGCAAAGAGCACCCCTTCATCACCTGTCAGAGGGATTTCCCAAGTTCACCTCACATTCATAGCCATCTCACTGTTGAAAGGAAGACTGTGATGCGCCATAATGACTATTTTGTGTATCGAAAGGATGCTTTTTGTGTGTTAGGATTGTTAATTTTAAAAGAAACTTTAAAGTTGAATTCTAAAGGAGAGTCAAAATCTGTGCCTCTCTTTCCCCCATTCCACCATCTAGGAAAAGTAACCAGAGCATGCGCATTGGGTTTGTACCGTCTCTGTCTGTAAAGTTGCTGCTGCTCACAGACAAATCGTCAGGAGTTGAGATGCCATTGACACTGGGATTCCCAACTTTCCTCTGTGTTAAGTGTTCAAGACTCATATTACCACTTTTTTGCGAATCTTTTGTCAAGTTCAGGAAGACCTAGAAAAAGAAGTCAGATCACTTCATTAACATAAGGGGTCTATATCTCTTGGGACCTCGATTTTGATTTTGAATTATTATGACATTTATTAAGATAACTATTTCCCAACCTACATTAAGAGAATATTTTTACATGTAAAAGATGGTCATTCTCATCTTTTGGATGTAAAATGTTGAAAAACATTTTCTTCTCAGAAATCAATCTTCTATTAGAATGGTACCGAGAATTTTAAGTTTTTCTGATTTTGTGACATATTAATTTAAAATACTTTCCCTTTAATTAGAAAAAACCCTTTACATATTTCTCTAAGGACAAGAAAGTCATATGAGCCCCAATAAATCAAGCCATGTTGGTGGGAGTGGGAGTAGGGAGAGAACTCAGTTAGTAAATGAGAACTAGACTTCCATTTCTAGAACCCACAAAAGCCAGAGTCACAGTGTGCACTTGTATTTCAGCACTGGGAAGGTGAACATTGATGGATCCTCAGTGCTCAGTGGGCCAGCCTGTCTAGTTTACTTCCTGAGGTCTAGGCCAATGAGTGACTTTGTCTCAAAATGCCAAGTAGACAGCTCCAGAGAAATGATTCAAGGGTTGTCCCATGACCACTGTAGGCATGCAGACAAGAGTGCATGTGAACTCTTGCACCTACGTGAACCTATCCACATGGAGAGACACAGACATACACAGGAATTCGGTACAGATAAAGTCCAGAGGTATAGCAGTTGCCTTGTTCACAGTGCTGGATTTGATTTCCAGCACTTTAAATAACAAATAAACAAACAATAAGGAAATATATGGAACAAGCAGTAAGAAGATGGCCACATACCTCTTCGACAGTGGTGTCTGAAATGCCATAGCAGCCGATGTTGAGTTTACCCATTCCCTTGTCCAGTGCTCTCAGGAGTGACAGATAAGCACCCGAGACCTTAGTGCTAAATGGAGGGAGCACGTACACAAGCTCTCCCCCAATATCCTCCTTGAGGTAGGCTTCAGGGAGGTGTGACTGGATCATTGCTGTCACTGCCACTGTGTCACAGATTGCATTTGTGTCTAGATTTGGACTCTGGGAAGGAGAAGGAAAGTCAAGCAAACTCTTCTGAATCAGATCACATACCATCCTTCTAGCCATCCCCCGTCCCATAAGGGGACTTACAAGTCACTCTGATCAGCTGCATTCTTCCACCCCCACACCCACCCTCCCCTCCCTGCTTTAGCGAAGTGTCAGCTCTTTGTCTCTATTGCTACAGTATGTCTGGCCATTGCGCATGCCCTCCTCCAGGTCTCTGCACCCAGACAGCCAACATGTCCCATTCTCACACCAGCTCCAGCTCATGGTTTAACTGACACTTTTTTCCCCACTCCTGGCTTTTTTCTATCTATATTTGTAGAAATAAATATCCCATGCATGTAATTTATCATTTACTAATTGCTAATGTGTTAAAATAATTTACACATTGAATACAGCATCTGAATTTTTCACATGCCATCAAACACAAAGTTCATGAAGCCAGAATATAGAGTTTCATGTCATGAATTCACTGATGCAGCCAGCCCCAGTGCCTAGAATAATGCTTTGATACATCAGGCAGCACAATATCCCTTAATATATGAATTTCTAAATATAATGATGAATTACTATTTTTGTTTTTGAAGCTCAAGGATAATTTTGTTAGCGTTTAAAAGAAAATACAGGACAGATTAGATGGAAATCCCCGCAGCCACTAGAAGAGGAATGGAAGAAATTGTGCCCTTTTAATTAGGCATGGGGTAGAAATAGATAGCTCATTAAGGAAGAAAGTTTTATTAAAAGACTCCTAATGGCTTATTGCTATACCCATGAAACACTGAATGTCAGCCATCTTAGAAGCTTTGTGTAGTAGATGGCAATTAGCAGAGACCCTCACCTGGTGAATATACAGAGAAGAGGCTGTGGAGTGCTCAGCCATAAATGGGACATACATATCATACCTTTCCCCAAAAGGCCCAGGGAACTTCAAAGAAGAGGCGCAGAAAGATTGTAACGACCAGAGGTAGTGGATGACTTCCACACAACAGGGACACAGCAGGGAAATTGCACTTATGGACTCACAGTAATTGGGGCAGTATGTATAAGACCTGCCGTAGCTCCAGGCAGACACAACCCCGGCATGGAGTTGGGCAGATGGTCATGAAATCCCATCACTAGCATGATAGCTATTGGTATTGCTGGGAGATAGCTATTGCTGCTGGGAAAGGGAGAATCAGTTTTGTTTAATGACATGACCACTAGTAGGTTGACCACACTTGTGGCAAGTCCCTGTTCGAAAAAGTAGTTGGGCAACACAAACTGGACTTGATTTGGATGCGTGTGGTGAAGAAAACTAAAGTTGGGTGGGTAGGAAAAGAAAAAGATGGAGACAGTTTGGGAGTGAATATGATCAAACTACACCAGATGGAATTCTCTAAGAATTAGTAAAAATGTTATTTTTGAAAAAGGGTACAGCACTCATAAGGTGGAAGTAATTGAGTAAAACTAAGGAAAGAGCCCCCACCCAAGCCTGAATTACTTCATATATTTTGGAAGTCATGCCAAAATAACTTAAATATGGAGTCATCCAAAAGATGATCCGAATCACACTTTCCACTCTATAGTCTGACACTTGCCTAGTGAAGATGTGACTTCATATGTGCACTTCATTTTCTTTCTCTAAGCCAGAAACTTTCAATTTCTCTGAAATGTTAGAAGGAAAAAGGCTGGCAGTTCACCAGTAACCTTTAAAGTGGCATCATTTTGGGCAGTGCCAGCAACACTGTCAGCATGTGGGAAATTGCCGTTAAGTTTAGTAAATTCTGGGGAAGCTAACAACATTAGATACACTTGAGACGGGAGCAGAGATCTGTTTTTTGTTTTGTTTTGCTTTTTCAATTCACTTGCTAAGATTTAACAAACACATAAAGGATCATATTGAGGGACTTTAGCAATGAGTCACGCTGGAGAGAATTCATAGAAACACTTAACTCATCACCTCATGAGACAGTGCACTTCCCCTCTTACAAACCTTCTTCTTGGTGAGTGTGAGGTGATAGCCATCCCCAAAAGCTTCCTTGAGGTAAAATGGTGAGCCACAACATCGAAGCCCACCTTGTTCCAGGAAGGCAATGCGGTCACTCAACACCTCGGCCTCATCCAAGTGGTGTGTTGACAGGATGATTGTTCTGGCTTAAAAACAAAGTCAAGAACAGCATAGAATGAAAAATGAGGATACAGGCTCCATGGAACAGAATTAGCAAGAGCAAGTTCTGAGATTTCTGAGGACAAGAGTGGTATTAAACTGAGGTGAGTGAACCTCCATAACAATCAAAGGGAAATTCAGAAGGGTGCTCTTCAATTTACAGGAGGGTGTCTTATATGTAATTTGGCAGCAAGCGGGTCCTTATTAAGCTTTACAGCTAATGTCCATCATTTTGTGGGCATCAGCAACCCTTTCTCATTTGTCAGAGTTTTGCTTCCATTGTTTCAGTGTGCACTCCCTCCCTCTCTTGCTCTCTCTCACTCTGGCTCGATTTCCTTCCTTCACTATAAAAGAGCAGTAAATTTAAAGACGTTTTTGAATATTCCTCTCGGATTGATCCACTCCAGTTTGATTACTACTTATTTAGTCTTGTTTTTGGTTTATTTTCATTTGTGTATGTTTGGTATCTCTAATTAGATTCCATGCTCCTCTGTGCAGAATTTGGAACTGCCATTGGATCTACACGATCCCAAAAAGCCCATTAAGTTCAACTCACAGTGATTACTAGATAGGTATTAACTAACTGATCCACACATCTTACCGAGAAAGCTTAGGAAAAGAAAGAGCCCACCTCAGACAGTTCGAGGGTATTGTATTATACACAAGAAAGTTTCAACTTGATTTTGAATAAACCTGAGTGTAGACTTATGACTGTTCCATGAAGAAATTATGAAAAAACACTCGTACCAGTTTTGTTCTTGGATATGACATCCCATATACTTCGACGAGAACACGGGTCAACTCCAGTGGATGGTTCATCCAGTATCACTACCCTTGAACCACCAATGAGAGCTATGGATATGGACAATTTCCTCTTCATTCCCCCAGACAATGTTCCAACTCTTTTATGGCGATGGCTATACAGGCCAGTGTCTTTTAAAGTCCTTCAAAAAATAATTAATAAAGTCCTTCAAATAAATAACTATTGAGTATGCCTTTTATGATCAGTACAATGCAACACTGATAGCACAAAATAGTTTACTATCATTTAACATCCTATTATCATAATTACTAAGAAAAAACACAAGACAATATATAGTCCATGCATTTGACAAATGGTTAGAACATTGGGCTTTTTTTGTGCCACATCACTTCATAGGTCCCAGAGAAAAGCAATGAACATACACAAAAAACATGTTCATAAAGAGATTATGTGTGCAATGTGTTCATAATGTAAAGAAACCCCATTAGTCATAATATCAAGAAAATTTATAATATGCTAGGTGGTAATCAACACACAATTAATAACATAGGAAACACAAGAGAAAGAGTGGCTGGGACATACTGCTTTAGGTATGTATATATAGTAATCACTTTCAGAAAAAGTGAGATGAGCAAAGACCTAAAAAGTGGTCATTTGACCAAAAGGTGGTCAAATGACTCTTGGGAAGGGTGTGATAAGTTGTGAACAGCAAGGAGAAAGACATGTGGGAGTCTGTTATGTGTAGTCAAGGGTCTGAGTACCTTATGTTCACAGAGCACAGTGAATAGAGAGTGTGAGAGAAAATAGATATGAGACAGAGGACAGGTCATGTAGGGTTTGATAGACCTTGGTAATGACATTATGGAATGTTATGCTAAGTGTGGCCGAAGCTACTTTAGGTGATGCAGGAATAACATGGCCTGATTTTCAGTTGACAGAGCTCACTCTGACAGCTCTTTAATCAGAATAGATAAGATGGGGCAGGGGAGCTGGAAGCCCAGTTAAAAGGCATTGGACTGTAGTACGGATGCAGAACAGAAACAAAGGATCAGGGCAACATAAAAGGCACTGAGGAAGAGTTGAACAATGTGCATATAACTAGCTGGAGATGATGATAATGTGAAGTATATATGTTACCAGAAAAATAGAAAACAAAGCAAACATGTTTGTGAGGGAACATTTCCTATTGTTATTCCTCCCGGACCAAAGAAGGTATATATGTCTTTGGGAAAGGTTAACAAGCCATGTCCTTGCTTCTGGCTTAACTCACCTTTTAACCTCCTCGTGAAGCTGCTTTTTGGTCCAGTGAGGGACTTTGATGGAGCCATATAAGAGAAGGTGCTCCTTGGTTGTGAGGTAACTGAACAAGACATCATGTTGCATGCAGACTCCCATGTTTTTACGAACAGTATTCAGGTCTGTCTTGATATCTTTTCCATATACAAAAATAGTACCTGCTGAGGCACCAAACAGCCCAGTCAGCATGGAGCTGGAAATGAAGACGCAATAAATTAGGTATGGACCAATCACTCAAACTAGATAGCAAAACTAAATACATCTTATGAGTGAGAAACAAAGAAACATTGGAGTGCATCACTTTAAGTGAAAGCAAGCTGTGAAATAAAAAGGCATCAAGTAGGAATGAAAAAATAAAAAAATGACTTTTAAGCTTTTAGTTATTTTGGGTGTTGTGTAAACACTGCATGATGATGGCAGTGGTAATAGTATTCAAACTGGGGGTGCTTTTTAGTTGAAAGGACACTCTGTCCTTGAACATGCTGTTTTCCTTGGAATCCTATTTATAGACTGGCAAATCTCCAATTGGTGTCTCCAGACTAGATTCTATCACTTAATCCCAGGCTTGCCTACGAATCCACAGACCATGCTGCATCTTCATGAGGTACCTACAATGGTTCTCGGCCTCTGGGCCGTGACTCACAGGGGTCACCTATCAGATATTTACATTAGGATTTATAGCAATAGCAAATTATAGTTATGAAGTAGCAACAAAATAATTTTATGGTTGGGGGTCACCACAACTCAAGGAACTGTATTAAAGGGTTGCGGCATTAGTGAGGCTGAGAACAACTGTCTTACAAGGTCCTCAGACCAAGTATGATCCTATCTTTCTCCCTTCTTCACTGAGGGATGAATTAATATACTATTTGCACAAAACTGTATTTCAGCAGTCATGTTTACACCCTCTTGGTCTCTTGGTCCCCTCACTGCCGACATCTGCTACCACCAGGGGGCAGAAGCTATCACCACATTTTCTGAAGTAACTGGCCATCTTTAGTCCCATCCAGTCTCTGTAGTACAGCCAAAATATTTCTACCTAGAAAACCCTCAACACTTTGTAAGTGGTTAGTCAGTTGGGCAGTTATTTTAGTAATCATCTCCTCCCTCCATTATAACATAATCTCCAGAAAGTCTAGAGAAGTTCTCTCCTGTCTCTAAATTTCCTCATAACATCCATTGGAACACAAACAACATGCTTCTTTTTGATATTTTAGGATTATATCTAGATCAATAAAATAGTGCATTCTTGCTGGGCAGTAGTGGTACACGCCTTTAATCCCAGCACTCCGGACGGAGGCAGAGGCAATCGTATCTCTGTGAGTTGGAGGCCAGTCTTGTCTATGTAGCTAGGGCTGTTACACAGAGAAACCCTATCTCAGTAAGTAAGTAAGTAAGTAAGTAAGTAAGTAAGTAAGTAAATAAATAAATAAATAAATAAATAAATAAATAAATAAATAGAATAGAATAGAATAGGACATCCTTAGTCAGAATTATAGTCTCTTCAAACACATTCTCTATCTATTTTCTCCCCAGCCACTTATTTCCCATTGGGAAAATATGCTGTATAAGTGTTCTTTATAAGTGTTGTATTCTAGAAAGCCAACCCTGGCTTTTAACAGGTCATACAACTAAGAGGCTGTGTGTTTACTCTTCTCACGACCTTCACTTGTCTCCAGTTATTTAGAGAAAATATTGATGCCAGCATTTGAGAAGTCACTGAACTTACTCAAGATTATTAAAAATAGAACACAGAGCAAGTGAAACATTTCCTCAAGGGCTGGAATCCAACAGTCTCTTAGCACTGCCAGCAAGTATGCACAGGTGGAGAAGCCTCCACTGGAGGCAAACCAGCACAGTAAACACACAGAAGATAAAAATATCTAGGAATCTGGGATCCTGACCCTCTCTCTGTCTGTCACAGGACAGTCAGTACAGAGAAAGCCTGTGTGCTGCTCTTGACCTTGACCTGTGTGCGATACTGGCAAGTTTCTTTGTGAATCACGGCAAGTGCTTCCTGTGATAGAGAAGATGGGGCTGTGTGTTCACGTTAGGATGTACAAACTCAGCTTTACACCTGGCCTGGAGAGGAATACAAATAAAAGGGACAGACTGATAGATACGGCAGTATGGATCCAAGACCAGGGTTAACCAGAGAGCACACACCTTTTGAACAGAACGGCACTAGTGAACCACCACCACCAGCCCCCGTCTCAATATGCACACCTTGTATTGCAGGGTGTTCTACTCCCTAAGGCCTGTGGGTTTTGATATCTTTGGGGATCACATAACAGATATCCTGCATATCAGATATTTACATTACAATTCATAACAGTAACAAAACTAGTTATGAAGTAGCAAGGAAACAATTTTATGGTTGGGGTCCCCACAACATGAGGAACTGTATTAAAGGGTTGCAGCATCAGGAAAGTTGAGAACTTCTGATCTAAGACATGCCGAGAAAACTTACTGTTATTTGGAATTTGCACTGAATAAAACATTTGAAGACTCATGGGATGGAGAGGCACTAAGTCACACAAATAAAACTATTCCACAATGGCATAAAATGGCCTTATTGCTCACAGTTTGGACTCTCTGGTTTACATTTCATTCTACCATGGACAAGTAGAACCTGGAGGATGTAATAGTTCTGCTTTCTTCTTAGTTTAGGATTTTAGTTTATAAAAAGCTGTCATTAATAATATCCTTGTTTGACATGTAGTTGAAAAATGACATACATGGTTGTGGTTTTTCCAGCTCCATTTGGCCCTAGCAGTGATGTAATATGCCCTTCGTAGAAGTTCAGATTGAGGTTTTGAACAGCTGTCTTTGAGCCATATATCTTTGTGACCCCGTGCAGGGCAACTCCAACTTGGAGATCTTTAGGTTCAGGTTCAATGTTGGAGGGGAATGCACAGTCAGGACCTGGAGAGAAACCAAGAGAAGAGTTGGAAGTTCACCAGTAATTAATGGACCTAGGTTAGACTTTCCTTTAAAAATTGGAGATTATGTAAATATAATCTTTAATCTTAGAAAGGTCAGAAGCAACTGATTTATTATATTCTCTAGCTACCTTCTGATCTGCCTACAGAATGAACAAGAGTGCAAAACCACATTCTCTGGGGCTTCATATATTAGTCTTCTCTCTTGGAAAAAAAACAGTACCCAAATATAGTATTATAATTTTACGGCTTTCTTTTTTAAACAGATCTTAAGTATTCAAAAGATAGCCCAGAAGGTTTTTTCTCTGATAGAAGAAAGATGGCATCATTTTATGAAATAAATGTTTGCAAGTTGTGGTTTTACAGTAGCAAGGTTTTGTCAGATCCGTGGTTTACAGAATCCAGTTAATTTTCTTATCTGTATCTTCTTCAGGCATCACCACCACACCACTTACACAGGGCACCTTTTCATAGAGACAGTTGCACTCACCCCATGTCAGTGAGGTGTGAGCTTTGCACTATTTTTCTCATATCAGCTGTGGGTTATGCTACATTACCCAGTTTTGTTCCTTGGTTACTCCTATGACTGGTAGCAGATGGCTAGAGTAAGGGATGCAGGCTGTAGGCAAGGAACAATTTTTTTCTCTGTGTGAGTCTAACTGGACCACAAAGGGATCTACAGTCTTGGCTTAATTAGCAGCATATGCTAACCAACTGAGCTAATGAGCCCAGGAGAAGGCACAATTCAATCCCTGTAAGAATGCAAACACATATGTGTAGACATACTCATGCATGACTAAAGGGATGATAATTTTATCATTTAGAAAAATGTAATTAAATCCACTAGTCATGCAATTTTGATGTCATTTCTCTTATAATGATACATGCTATTGACTTACTTGTCTTATTGGCAGAAGGGTTGGTGTTCTGCATCATGATATTGGTAAACATAAGGCCATTGCTTTTCTCACGCTTCACCTCTGAGCATCCAAATCGCTCTTTCCAATAAGAAGGAAGGACTGGGAAATACCACGGAGCTGCCATGCCATATGTCCCTGTAATGAGAATATATGAGGAAGAATGAAATGAAATGAAACACTATGAATGGTTCAGGAAATTGCTTCATTTTGTAGAATACTATACAAACTAAAAGTGTGAGTTCAGTTTACAAAGCCAAAAAGATCATCTCTTTTAAAAGACATATCAATGAATTATAGTTATATTACAAATTTAGTCATTTTAAGTGTGCAGTTGGATGATTTTTGTTCACATACGAAGCAAACATTACCACAGTCCAGTGTTAAACTAATTTTGCAACTCCACAGAATTCTCACAGGATTCCTTTGCACAGTATAAGGTCATACTCCAAGTCCCAGGTTAGCACTGATATGCTTTCTGTCTCAAGACAGTAATCTTTTACAACCATTTTGTGCAAACAAAAGCATGCAATGTTACTCACTCATCCACCAAAAATGTAAACATATCAATAACCCTAGTGGGAGAATACCTATGCCTGTTAGAAAAGATAACTGCTTAAGATTCAAAGTGGAAATCTGTGTTTGAGAATATAGTTCATCCCCCATAAAATTAAGAAACCCAGGTCTTGCCTTATGGTGCATCATACTTCTATTTGAAAAGAGACTGGGTTGACCTGATACTGTCACATGGTTTTGAATTTACTCTGTCTTTGAAAAAACTATCAGAGGAACACAACAATGTATTTAATCTGAATTTTTTGGTTAATTTAGGGTTTTAGTATACTGCTTTGGAGATTCCATATGGCAAGCCAACTATTGGTATAAGATGACTTACAGAGATGAAAGCTACAAGAAGAGTGTATCTATAGAATTCAGGTTCCTACCTGGGAAGACATTCCTGACGTACCAAGCAATAAAGAAATAAATGAAAGAGTCTGCTAGAATTAGACAGCAAAGCCAGCCAAATGAGGTGGTATCATCCTGAACAGGGGACTTGTACATGTTTTCCCATTGAAGACCTAGAAATTGATCACAGGTATTTATTCCTCTTTGACACACATCACAGTTAGATATAAAATCCTGTTTTAAAGAAATTGAACCTACCAACACCTTGTTCTTCATATCGTGCAATATATTGGCTTGCATAGCTGAATGCTGTTGGGGACAGCAGGCTCTGGGAAGAAAATGAACAGTGGTGATAGTGCCAGTGGATTTCAGCTAGAGGGTCTCAAAATGCTTAAAATGTTAGTCATATAGAAAAAATTTATGCTCACTCTCTAAGTCTCTTTAAAATACTGAAAGTCCCTTGCCAAAAAATACTGCAATGAGACAGAGAGATGAAAGAAAAACTAGAAAAAGTAGAGAAACAGAGAAAGAGGCAATAAACTTGGACACTGCTTTTTAAGAATCCAAAATATATATTTAAGCTCATTAAATGTTTCTCAGAAATTTATAAGGCAGGAAATTACAGAGTAATAGAGTAGTAAGACTCAAATTAAATGACATCAGGACTAGAAAATGCTTCTAAATTTATTTCAGGTGACATAATTATGAATAAGAATACACTAAAATATTTGTTGGTTGACTATTGATAACCACTACACATTATAAATTTAAGTTTTGTTTAAACTTAGAGCAGTCAGTGTTGAATTAAAGTTACTCATCAAATCTGTGTCTATGAACAGCAAATTCTTAATATGATTGGAAGTGCTCTGCTCTCTGAATTTTAAATTCAGTCATCTTATTCTCCAATTTAGTGCTTCTGAATTAGGAAAAGCAGAAGGAAAAATTTAAATTTGAGTACGTGCTGTCAATGCACCCATCACTATTTCTTCAGGCTAGTGTTATTCATGAAAACCATGTACTTTTCATACATGAGAATGATTCTAACACAAGCGGTCCTGTGATGCTTAAGGATTTGAACCAGAGAAGTCAGAATTCTTGGTGATCTCTAAAACATGGCAGGTACAATTTTAACTGGTGAAGAACCAGAGCTTTGCAGCATCATTAATGGTTCTAGAAGCTGTGGGAAGAAATGTTTCCTTTAAGAGAAGACAGCAGTTACAAAAATCTATCATTAGAAGAGTTAAGGTTTTTGCTGTCACTTAATTTTTAATGATGTAAGTGAACTTTCAACTTGAGAAGCTTTTCATGAACTAAGGGAGGGAGGCATTTATATCACACTAGTGCACACTCCAACAGTTGGCTTACCATGAATACTTTTATGACATAGCTCAACTCATCCTCAACTGTCCCCAGAACAATAAATGGAAAAAAGGCAATGACGTAGATGAGACTTCCGATTAGAGCTGCAATGTTGGTATTGTTGAAGAAAACACTGATGAGATAGCTCATAGCAATCACTGAGAAACTGTAGTCCGAAAAGTACAGGAACAAAATGAAGCCATTTGTTTTGGGAAGAATATTGCCAAACTTGAGTATAATGATGAGAATTGCAATTGTAACCAGTAAAAATCCAACACTCTCTATAAGCCAGGCAAAGAAATGGCTGCAGGAGTTCACGCCCATCATCTTCATGTACTAGAAGAAGGGAGAGTTAGATGTTTATTTGACTGATGAATCCCTAAGTGACAATTCCTTCTGCATCATGACAAAATGTCCAAGAATCTCCCCATACATGAAAATATATGTTTGAACAGTCTATGTGAATTCTCTCTGATTGTTAAGTCTCTTTGTGCCAGCTCCTCTTGGATTTTAAGTTCCCAGAGTGGCACCCCAACACAAACAATGCTTCTGTTTGGAGGAGACCTTTCTTGTGAATAAAATGTACATTTCTAGTACCAGTGTGATAACTCAGTGGGTAGAGGCACTTGCTTGTAGACCTGATGACCTAGATTTGATACCTGATCTTAGAAGATGACAAGGAGAACAGACTTCTGAAAATTGTGTTGTGACTTCAAATACATGGTACACTAACTTGGTCTTTCTATCTCTGTCTCTCTCCATCTCTATCTCTGTTTCTCTCTCTCATCCAGAAAGTAAATAAATAAATGAGCATGGAGCACCTGCTTAGCTGCAGAGTTCCTGAGTTCAATTCCTAGTAACACACACACACACACACACACACACACACACACACACACACACATGCACGCACACTCACACACACATATACACACTCACACACATACATAAACATACATACCACACACACTCACATGCACACATGCACACACACACACATAATACACACTAAGACACATGCACACTCACACACATACATACACCCTCATACATGCACATATATACATGCATACTCACAGACCTACACACACACACACACACACACACACACACACACACACAATATATAGAAACAGACACACATGCTCACACTAGAGACACACACCTGTATGTACATTACAGTTCTAGTTTTGACATTTTGTAGCTGACTTCTCTAGATTAAAGTGTTCTAGAATCAGGGACCATATTTATAGTGTCTCCTCTATGATTTTTACAGCACGAACTAGGCATTTGCTCAGGTATAAATATTTCAGTCTGGGAAGAAGCTGCACATAGTTTAACTTCAGTCCCAGTGTAGAAATTGAAATAATAAAAGTTCATTTTTTTTTTACTTAAACAGTCTTTAACGGAAGTTGCGTATGAGACACCCCTACTCCTGCATCTTCTCAGTTGTTTCTTCCTGGTGTTTGCCCTTCTCCTTTCCTACTTGTCAAGAATTGGCTTTCCTTTCCAGGATCTTCTTGTGGGCTTTGTCCAGCTTTAGCCTGATGATAACCACCTTGCTGGGGTGATAAGCCTTAATGAACACTATAACTATTGTTCATGCTTCATGAGAAAAACAGAATAGATGTGAATACTTATTATTCAAAACATAGAAGTTTGGAGGAAGATCTTCTTTCTGCCTTGTGTGATGACCTCCTCATCCCTACATCAATGGACAGTCTGTGTCAGTCTTAGTATCTTCTACAAAGAGGCATTCATACACCCACAGTGAGCTCAGGAATCTGAGATACCAGTTTCTCAGATAATATTATTTTCTGACTCAGTGATATCCCCAGGGACAAGACATTCCATCACAGTATCAGGTCTGTTTGTGCAAGAATGCAAAAGTGTCTTCCTTCAACTCCAGTTGTCTTAAATTTGGTACAAGTGGAAGACTTAGGAAACCTGGATATCCCAGTATTAACAATAAATGATAAAGAACAAACTTATGCAGCTAGTGTTCCATTTTTAAAATAATAAAATAGATGTTCCACTAGCAGCTTTATAGTCCAGTATTTTTGTAGAATAAACAATTTTTAATGTCTCTTTCCTAATCCTGTCTAGAAAAAACAATGACAGCAACAATAACAATATTGCACTGGGTATTTTATTCTACAAGCCAAATGTAGCACATTTTGCTTTCTGCTTTTTTTAAGCTTATCACATTTGATAACTCTGCTTGCTCTTGTTACCATGGAGACAGCTACCTGCCTGCCAACAGTCTAAGCAGTGGGCCTTAAGCTAATCACCACTGAGGAAAAAGTCGGTGACTTCTCCTCTTAACTTTGTCCTCTTCTGCACCTTCTTCTAGTGTTCCTCCTTGGCCCCATCCCTACTGCAATGAAGACTTCATCTGTGGTTTCATAGGAATATGAAGAGGGGTCAAAGTGAAGAAACTGCATTGAGCAAAGATTCACCATGGAAAGTTTCCCCTAATTGCAAAGCTTGTCTTTATTGAAAACAAAATTACATTTTGATTTTTTTAAGAAGAAAAAAATTCAATGATTTTACTCCAGAAACTCTTCCCATATTCCTTATCCAGTTGAAGAAAATTATTGTGTCATTTTTGATGACTGCACTTCAGATATACTCATCAATCCCAGTGTGATTTTGACATGCAAGCTCTTTTCATCATCCTTGGATGGTATTTGCATTTTAAGATTTAATTACTTATGCATAGTTGAGCATAACCAACTGGTACATACACATCACTAAACTATTTAATCTTATATGGCCTATAAAAAGTAAAACTCCTTCCAACTGCAATGCTCACGAGTAAGAAACAATGCCAATATATTTTCTAAGGTGACTATCACATATCTAGGCTACATGAAGACCACAAAATAAAGTGTACATCATGTTTTAAACACGCTTTTCTCCCCTGGTGACTAGCAGCCCTGGTTTAAAGTCTTGATGCATCTAGAATAGTCTCCACTTTTAGACTTATTAAACAACACTTTGGCAAGCCTCACACCTAACAATGAAGGTGCTTATCACAGTAATTAGACTTTTAAACTCAAGATGTAATTCTTACTGCAAAGAGCTGATAAAATGTTGAGACTGGTCATTTCACTTTTCACTGAAACAGGCTAGCTGGGTTGTCTCTGAAGTATTCACAAGCGAACTCTCTAGCATGAAAGTTCAGTGCAGAGTTTTAGGATTTTATGTCACGAGGACAGCTGTATTCATAACAAGAAAGGACTCTGCAAGACAAGTCATCTATAAATCATTGTGAGTTGCTGTCAAGTTTGTGGTGACAAAGAAGACCAAAGTTGTGGATGGAAGATGGTCCACAGAGAACGGCTAGCTGTGCTTTCTTGATGCTATTGGTTCCTTCTCAAAATGGCAAATGCCAGGTGCCAGCTTTGTAGTAAAAGAGTCACTTGTCCCAAGTCTCCTTAACCTGACAGTGCAATTCATCAATATCTGATAACCAGAAAAGCCTTGGTACACAGTGGTCAAAGCTGGTCCAGTTCACAGCCATCACTGAGAAAGAGATTCCAGAAGAATTTGTAAGATGTTGCCATATCCCTAAGGGGCTTCTGTTTAGAGGTGAACACTAATTCAGGAAAAGAAGCCACAAATATTCATATATTTGCTTGTCAGCAATGTCACCCAATTCAACAGTAGGCCAAGCACTAAGTCATTAGGAATAATGACATTTTTCTTTCATTTTTTAAAAATTAGTTTTCTTAACAAAAGATTATAGTAATTTTTAAAAAGTTTTGTAAGTTAAAAGGGATGTTTTGATTATTATTACGGATGCTCCAAATTTCTGCTGGTAAGGAATGACATGTGTTATGAAAGCAAATAAAAGGTATTTAATATGAAGCTCTAGGGTACTGAAGCTTCTTGTGTTCTTCTTGGTAATAACTAATAAATATCTTTGGTTGTATGTCTGAAGTTACAGAAAAACTCCAAAATCCTGCTTATAGCTGAATATAAAGTCCCAACAATGGAGTCTTAGATCAACTAGACACAACTAGATCATAAAACACAGAAAAAAATTAAAATAAAACTTTTTCTTTTATAAAATATCAACATTTTAGAGCTGTGATATTTTAACTGTTAAAAGCACAGAATATAGCACAAAACTCATGAAGGACATTTTTTAAGGTATTTAAAGCTTAATTTCAAAAAATAGACTTATTGGTTATAAATATTTGTGCTACTTCCAAAGGTAGAGATTTTTAGAGGCATATTACAATAGGGTCAAATATTAATGACTTCATTGAGATACAGCCAAATACGTTTTCTTGACCCAATTTTAAAAATGTTATAAAAAGAAAGACGTAAAATTTTTTTAACCTTTGTGCTTTAATTTGAATGAAAAAGAAATAGGATAGGGCACTTTTTACACTTTAACTGAATATAAAATGACAGCATTAAAAAATATTTTTGCATTTCTGGTAATCCAAGAGATTGGCCATCATCAGTCTTAAAATGTCTTCAAAGTCTGCACTACTGAAGGAAAGCAGCAATGATTTAGCAAAGGGTTGGGTGGAGGTCAAGACATCCCTGATGATAGTGATTAACTAGGTTCATAGTCTTCACCAGGCCACCTCTCACATTCTGGGCATACACAGCCTTCTCATCTCTGAAAAGGAGGTAGCTGTGAACTGAGGGCAGTGGAGAGACAAGCTGGAGTCACTGGGGACATTCCATTCATGCCACACTTTTCACAAATTCATTTCACAGCTATGCTGTTTCCCCTTGAGTTTAGGATGCCATTGCTTTTAAGACATGGCATTAATTTGCATGCCACCAAAAAAGAAAAATTACTACTGAGTAAGTCATGGCACTGTGTCAAATGCATCCTAATTTCAGAGGCTTCGAAAAAAGGAGCCAATATCTTAGATAAAAATAATATAGGTAACTGAACACCTTCTCTGTTATGAGAGACCTCCATCCTGTAGCATTATGCAAAAGTCTAGAAAAAAAAGATGCTGAGTTTAGAGATGAGGCTCAAGCAAACATGACTAGCAGAAACAGAAAACTCAAAGCTTCATGCTCTATTTCAATTCAGTGATTTTTTTTCAGTGTGTGACTTTGACCCTGTGGTCATGTGGTTAAAACTTGAAGGTTGATGTCTACTAAGTGAAGGCATAGAGCTAGCATGCAGAAATGGCTCACTGTTAAAAATATGCCTTTCATCTCTTCTACTGAAAAGGACCACATTGTGTTCTGATATTTTGGGTGACGTACATGGATGCATTCAAACAGCATTATGTTCTAACACAGAACAAAGGGATGAGTGTGAAACATGCATATGTATGCCCATAAACACATGAGCATATAGAGAAACACATCCACAAATATGCTTGTTGTTTCTGTCATGAGTAACGTATTTGAGGCAGGTATCTGTTTTGAAGTATAAAATAGCTCAGCGTCTACCACAGTTTTCTGCTTCAAAGCCATCCTTTAATCTTTGAAGACCCACTTTTGAGGATCGGGAACCTGAGACATACAGGGTAGAAAGGACTATGTAACCCAATTAGGGTTTGAGGTGTGAATTCAAGCATTCAGACTGTCATTAGGAAAACATGGCATATAGTTGGGAAGACAGCAGGGCTTAAATCAGTTCATGAGACATTTAGAAAATTGTAACTGGAAGATGACTGCAAGAGACAAAGTATACTGGAAAGAGAATTTGTCCTTGAAAAACAAAATAACCCTCACGCCAGTATCCATGTCTGAGTCTATACCTACAAGGAGCTGGCTTGGTTGCCATCTTTATTCCTTGTTGGCATCAACATCTAAACTGATAAACCTTGTTAGAGCCTGTATCCTATAGGGAATCACACTGGAAAACATTATTGTGAGGATCATAATTATATTCATACTTTATTACTCTGGTTTTATCTTCTCAGAAGTACTCACTAGACGTCTTTCGCGTCACTTTGGAGAAAACAAAATAAAGACTACCATTGTGATCTGTAAAATGTTTGTCTTTCTAATTCAAAAGGTATGGGCTATGCTGGCTGAGTCTGAATATGTACCATGCAGGTCATAGCAATTAGCTGATCTATGATTAGGACCTATTCACAACAAGAAAAGATTAACAACATACCTCATGGAGCCGAAGGTCCTTCTCATAAACAAGCTTTTTAACAAAGGCAGCTATAAATACAACCCAGGCAACCATGAGCACGATCGGAAGGGAATAGGAGACACTGGTGAGGAAGCTGTGAAATGAAACAGAGGATCCAGTCATCAAAATAAATGCTGCCCTGCAGACTGCAGAGTGCAAGAAGCACACACCGTGTGTGTGGAAATTACACTCCCATTAGGGAGCTCAGAATAACTATTAATATGGTTCCACTGTTTATGAAGCGGGAAGCCGACTTAACAGCGGGTTATCATTTTCTTACTGTGGTGGTGTAAGAATGAAAACACAGCTCTGGGTGGTTAGAGAAAATTGCCGTATTGTTTAAATTGCATTTGAGTATGTCCTGGTTGGGAAAATCATTATACAGCTATAATTACGAAACTCAAAACTTTGCTTATCTGAATGGCAGATTCAAAATTAGATGATGACTGGCATGCTTATCCCAAAGTGGCAGTGTCCAAAATGACTATGTTAACTTTTAAGGAAGTTTGTAAGTATTATTAAACTAAATTTCCCTAAACTAAATAATACAAAATCTAGAATATTTTATTTAAAATACAAAGAACTTGAATTATTCAAAGACATTTCAGAAATGTTGTAGAAATGCTTTTTTTTTCACAATATGTTGAAGTAGAGGGACCCTCAACAGCCCCATCATTTCTACATGAATTCCTGAGTGGCCAGTCATAATGCCTGAAGGATCTTATTTGGAATTTCTCCAAGTTGGATGCATAGCACAAATACCCTTCAACCTTACAGAGTTCTGGTCGCAACCTGAAGCCTGCTCATTTACTATATATGGACAGACCAGGAATTTGCTCGTGAACCAGATGCTGGTGGTGGTGGTACACAGGAGGCCACGGTTCTGATGCTGACAGCCCTTCAATGGACAAGACAAAGGCAGCTGTTCTTGGTGAGGTTCTTCATTAATGTACTTTGCATCTTGGGCTGGACAAAGCTTTCATTTAGAGAAAGGTCCCAAAACCATTCTTAGACATTTGATGAAAATGCAAAATATTAATGGACCATGAGGTCACTAGTGCTTGTTATCTATCACTTTAGTGTGCAGAAATGTATTGCTACTGAAAAGGATGCTTTTCAGGGGGGAAAGGAAATATATATTTGTTTCCTGAGGCAGATGTTCATAATAGAACATTTGTTGAATGAATTTTATCTTGGACCAGGTCCATTCTTGTTAAAATTTCTGGCTGTAGAATTAGGTAAGGGCTCCTATTTGTTAATAACAACACTGCTGTAAAAGCTTCTTCCAAGCGTGTGATTTAGGTCTGGTCTAGGACTTAGAAAATGCAGGTATTGTCATCAGGTGGCCCAGTGCAGGATCAGCCATATATCTTAGGTCAAGTGACTCGGGCTCTCTGGTTTTCATTTTTATCTGAAAACTATGGATGATGATACTGCTTCCATTTAACCGACAGGGGACAGAGGTAGAACAAACAAAATAACACATGATGAAGGGTTTCATATGGAGCAATGAGTTTAAATTTAAGACTTTATGATCTTATTCTCACAAAGAATGCAAGGTGCTGGTGCTTCCATTCCTTAGGAAACATCCAGGCATGCTCTCTTTTAGGTTCTAAACAGATGGCAAAGGCTCAGTGAATATCTTACCCCCATTTGATATGTCAAGGCATAAGGGACTTCCCAAAGGGGGTTTGACCACTAGCAAGGTCTGTAGGTCCACTCACTTACTTATCTTTCATGAAGCAGGGATAGGGAACTGCTTGAACCTGGACAGCAACTTCCTGGGAGTTTCTTCCTGTTTGTAATTCAATGATTGCTCTTTCAATACTATCCTGCAAGTAAATGAAAGCCCGGCTGTAGATCTGGTTGTGTGATGGAGAATTGTGTGGCCCTGGGGCCCAAATCTTGGTTCTTATGCTCCTTGTGGTCTGTGCAGTCTTCAGACTCATGCGGATAGTATATTTTACGATAGGAGGAAGAGAGACATTTTCAGAGTCGTAGCCTCTGTGTGAGCTTCTGTTAGATGGAAGCTTAAAAATGACACCTAAAAATAAAACAGCAACAACAGCACAAAAGTTACTTTATGGGCAACATCACTCACTGGTCAGAGGGCATACTTAGGGAGCAGCCAGCCAACTGAGTAACAGAAGAGTGAATCCAGGCTCTTGATTTAGCAGGATGATTTCTAAGGGGTGTCAACCTCGAGGGTTCAAAGCTGGAGTTAAAAATGTAATCCCAAAGTAAGTGACAGATTAAACATATCACTGTAAGCCATTTGTTTAAATTACCACTTCCCCCACCCCTGCCTGGGAGACTTTTAAATAGGTAATCTTGACTGATAATGAGGCTGGGCTTAGCTTCACTCTTACACTACATAATGCTTTTCATTCTTAATTTTTCTGCAATAAAATAAGATATTTGTACTTTAACAATGTAGCTGACTAAATGAAGGGTTCTCATTTATACTGACATCAGAAAGGACACTGACCTACAGACTATGTTTTTGAGTTCTGGATGAAAGAGGTAGGGAAGGAATTTGGTCCATTTTAGTACAAACAGACGCTGTCATCCTAACAGGACAGCACTTACTTCCAAAGAGTTCATTGCTTTTGTAGAGCTTTTCAGCCACCATCTCCATCTCCTCCACAGTGTCTGCTGCCTGGATGCGGTCATACAGCACACAGGAGGAAATGTTCACCGTCAGAGAAGACAGTGTGTTCAGTTGATCGATGATGTCAATGTTGTTTTCTAATTTCAGCCTGAGAACATCTAAAGAAGCAAAGACAGACAGAGAGACAGAGACAGAGACACAGAGAGAGACAGAGACAGAGAGAATCACCAATCATTCCAAAAGTAGTAAAACAAAATGCTGATTATTTTCTAGCAAATGGTACCCATTAAACTAAATTATAACAATGAGGTGGTGCTGTAGAATTTTCTTTGAAAAATATCTACTATTCTATGTGCCAGTTCTGCAGAAACTCCTTTATGAGAACGTTAAGTTAGTTATAAATGCAGTCAACCCAGGCTCAAAGAGATGTAAGATAATGCAAAAGTATATTCTGCTACAATTTAAATAACAAAGGACTAAGGGGGCTGGAGAGATGGCTCAGCCGTTAAAGGCTAGACTCACAACCAAAAAAAAAAAAAAAAAAAACCTAAAGGACTAAGGATGAATATGTCCTTAAAAATTATGCATGTAGTGCCTGGGGAGATGGTACAATAGGCAAAGTACTTATCAGGCAAGCAGAGAGACCCTGAGTCTGGATGCTCAGCAGCCATGCAAAAGCCAAGCATGTCAATGCCTGACAGGGTTTAGGGTGGAAGCACAAACATAAAAATCCCTAAAGTCTAGCTGAATTGGCAAGGTCCATGTTCAGTGAGAGACCCTGTCTCAAAACAAAAAAAAATAGAAGGATGGAGAAGACAGAGAGCTATTTTTGATCGCCATATGTATATACGTGAACATGTTATATGTATATTGCACACACAGAATAAATAAATATGTCATGTAGCTAATAAACCATGAGCTAACTATGATTGTTTTAAATAAACTAAACAAAAATGCTTCCTTTGGACAAAACAAATGTTTAAGAATTTTAAACAAAGGAAAGTCTATGCAGAGTGAAAGCTGGGCAACAGAAGGGCTGCAGAGATGGCTCAGCTGTTAAAAGCACTTGCAAAGCAGATTTCAGTTTCCAGACTCAACAGTCACCAACAACTCCAGTTCCAGGGGGTCTGACACCCTTTTTTAGACAATGTGGGTACCTGTACATACCCTCACAAAGGCATACATATATCAATATAATTTAAAATAGAACACAATCTTGAAAGCAAAAAGCCACAATATGGAAACATTTAAGAAACCTGAAGACAAAGCCAGATGGTAGTGGCACACACCTTTAATCCCAGCACTCGGGAGGCAGAGGCAGGTGGGTCTCTGTGAATTTGAGACCAGCCTGCTCTACAAGAGTGAGTTCCAGGACAGCTTCCAAAGCTACACAGAGAAACCCTGTCTTGAAAAACAAACAAAAAACAAAAAGGAAAAAAGGAAAAGAAACCTGAAGATATATATTATATAAATGCAGTTTTCTTATATTATCAACAGACAATTTTAGGGGCACAGCTCAGTGGTACAGCACTTGCCTCGCACACACAAGGTCTGGGATTTGCTTCCTGGTACCACCATGGTAAATAAACAATAAAGTCTTATGTGACTCATCTCCATGCATGTCTAAATTAACCTAGACAAAATGATCAGGATTTAATTTTAAGTAATTACTTCAGAAGAAAGACAATTTAATTGTTCTTCAATTGGAAGACTCCTTGTGAGGAAAGCAGCAGGGACCAAGGGTAAATATGAAATCATAAGTTAACAAATCATTTGATCAATTAAGTTTTATTAACTTGCTCATCATGAGGCCTGAGCTATGACTATCATAAATCCTTCCAAACAGGTTCCTTACCTTATCCAAAGTAACTCCTTGTTCCTCGAAAAGGGCAACTCCCTAAATACATTTCTCAGTACATTTTAAGGTTAAAGCCTTTACTTAATGGAGATGCTGGTGAGGGAGGGCTGGCTACACTGTTGTTGAACACTGAGGCCTCCAGCAGATACTGGGAGTCACCATAACAAGGAAGGAGTCTCTAGACCTGTTGGCATATGGAGTCAAGGAAATGCTTTGGAGAGGCAGCAGCACCCCTGGGTTCTAACTGTATAATCTCTTACAGATGTAATTATAATACAAGCATCATTGACAAATGTGTGTGTGTGTGTGTGTGTGTGTGTGTGTGTGTGTGTGTCTGTGTGTGTGTGTGTGTGCATAAATCAATTTTGAGCATCAAACTCAGGCCTTCAAATGTACTAGGCTCACTATTGTACTTACTTTAATCTGGTTTTAAATTCTAAGCCCCATCTCCTGTTTTAAAAGTTAGGAATGATAAAATTTATTTCATAACTTTATAGTTTATTATCCCTGATATTTTTATCAAATGGTGACTTACCATTTACTTTTGGAAAATAAATCCCCTAATACCTTTCTTTAACCAAATTGGGTTGACCGTCATCAAATGCATGCAATTATACATCAGACGGCTACATGCAAATATAGACATAATTCCTCCCCACTGTCTTACTACCTAAGTCATTTGTGTCCCGTGTCCCGGAGGTGCTGGGAAGGAGGAGGGTATTTGCTCTGCTGCTGCCAATTCTGATGCTCTCAATCCCTTCCTCATCCTTGTGGTTGCATAGCAACAGTGAATCAGACACAGCCTGAATTAGATGTCTTGCATCCTTTAGGTTGAAGGTGGGGACTTGGCAGAGGGAATATGTAAGTTTAGACAGCTGCCTTTGATTCTCTGCAGCTTGTTCCTTTTAAATGACCCTGAGTGGAAGACCCAACCTTGGATACTGATTTAGGCTTATTTTCTTTTGAGTCTCTACATTTGGCTTTGTTAACTCTATAGCCTTTTCTAGTTGCATCCTGGTGATACTGAGGCCAGCAGAGATCAAATGTTAAATGCTGCCTGAAATCATCTCACCTTCCTATACTTGTGAGGACTGACTTCTCATTGAGTTATCAAGGAAGGGGGAAAAAAGTAAAATGTGCAGCCTTACTTCTGCTTCCCTATGATTAAACTGAAATTTGCATTTACACCATGCATCTTGCTATAAAATCATTGAAACTAACCATGATTAGAAGCGTTCCCGTATCATTACTCCTAATTAACAGAAAGCATGGGTAGACATTTGTAGGGTCTCACTTTTCTTCCAATAACTAATAAAATACTAAATACAGAAGAAAGGGGAAGTTCTCTCATGGGCTCAGGGCACTGGGTTTCCTCCCCCAATTCTGATGTTCGGAGTGAGTCAAATTAAACTACATGACAGGGCCTCACCCAGGTCATCAATCTGCTTCAGGAGTTCAACAGCATCAAGTCCCACGGAGAACTTTACAAAAACTTGCACAAAGGGGTTCCGTAGAGTATTCTAGAAATTAATAATAAGAACCAATTTCAATATGAGAAGAAAACACGTTTAATCATTGTCACTCTAAACACAGCCTTGGACAATGAAGCAGCCACCACCGGGTGTTATTGAGGTATATGCTTATGGGCTCACACACAATGATTTGAAAGAATGATCAGTTGTCTTCCACACAAATTATTCGGATTTTTAAAAGTGCCCCAAGGGGACCATAATTATTTTTAACATCGGAGAATAATATTCAATTAATAGAATTTTTCTCAGCACTAATAAATTGCTTCCTTTTAAACATACACTGTAAATAATATGGTTCAGGATTATTTTATTCTCCCCAGATAAATAAAAGCAACTGCTGGCATTCACAAGGTCTTCATTACATTTGACCTCACAACTGTTTGGTATTCTAGCTACTCATCCCCAGCTGTGAAGTACCCCCTTCCTGACTCCAAGTTGTCTTTCTACAAAGTGGGGTACAAATGACTCTTCAGCAATGTCAGTCTCCATTATTATAATACCGTTCTGTATTGAACAAGAACAACTATATGGCCATGGGAAAACATAAACAAAACCATCATCTAATTCACTGAAACACTGATAATTTAAACTATAACTTATTTAAAATATTAAGGCCTCTATTGCTATTTTCCAATCTAGGAGACATAGTTTTTTTTTAGATTTTATTTATTTATTATGTATACAACATTCTGCTTCCATGTATATCTGCACACCAGAAGAGGGTACCAGATCTCATAACGGATGGTTGTGAGCCACCATGTGGTTGCTGGGAATTGAACTCAAGACCTCTGGAAGAGCAGTCAGTGCTCCTAACCTCTGAGCCATCTGTGAGCTAGACACTGCTATGCAGATTTTTACCACACCTCAGAGTAACTACTGCTATTACCATCTTGCCTGTATCTTTTTGGTGTGTGTGTGTGTGTGTGTGTGTGTGTGTGAGAGAGAGAGGAGAGAGAGAGAGAGAGAGAGAGAGAGAGAGAGAGAGAGAGAGAGAGAGAGAGAATATGTGAGCATGCATGCCTATGACTGAACCCAGAGCCCAGAGTCTCAGAACTCTGGAGCAAGCACTGTACCACAATGCCATGTCATCTGCTAATGCTTCAAATTTCCTGTGCATTTACAAAACTGAGTTTCTCCTCCAGAATTAGAATAGCAATTTACCCTTTTTCTGGAGTAAAGATGCTTCAGTTGGCTGATATTCTCACTGTGAAAATAGCCATGGAGATTCTAATAAATTCTGCACTTTGGAACTATTACGTACATCACATGTCCTTTGGTAATTCAGCACTTTAGCCAACAAAAAATTTCCCTAATAAAATAATGTGTGTGGACTATTTTTCCTTCTCCATAGATAAAAGTATTTTAGGAGAAAAGAGCAATCCTCCACTTAGGAGAATACATAGGGCATTAAAATTCTATTCAAGAAACTTTGCTATCCAATACTCACTAGAAAAGACCTGCTACAATGAGCATGCTTTGAGCTAGAATAGCTAAGCTGAACAGTACATTGTGGGGAAGGTGTTCCATGGAAAATGCCCTTCATTTTATAGTTATTAAACATATTGATGGTTTTTGTATTTATCTTCTAATTCACACTGTAAATGTAACTAACTATGTGCTGATTGTTAGCCAAAACAAACTGAAGAAAGCAGCTTCCAAGTATTTTTCCTGAAAACTTACATGAAACGAATCATTCATTCTGGGTTTAATTTACTCAACATGGTGATAAAGACAGGAGATGTGTATGTATGTATGTATGTATGTATGTATGTATGTATGTATGT